AGTACTGATACCAGAGATATGAAAAGTAATGGAATTATATAACCGAAGCTGGAAAGTTGTGTGTGTATTGCCTTGATATGATGACTATGCGCAGCAATAAATTGCGGTCGAAACGTGGTCATCCGTAAGTATTACTGTGAGACTTTATAAAAATAAATTTATCCACAATGGAATTTTTACTAAGTTTGTTTGCCTAATGTGTATCTGGCAGTTTATCTTAATTTTTGTTTTAATTTTTTTTAACTGTAAACTATTATTTTTTTCTAGTTATACGGGTGTACGTGTCCATGGAAATGATAAAGTTGCTGCTGTTATTGGCATGGATGTAACATATCGTTTTCTAAGCCTTATGCTATTTAATTGGTTACCAGAGTGTGAAATGTTTTTAAAACAAGAAAATCTATTCTCATCAACCACGTCAGCGTCCAATAATTCATCTTTAATACTAGAACAACAATTAGAGAAAGTAATGAATAAACTAGCTATTCTTCTGGGTGGTGATTCATCAGATTCTACATCTTCGACAAAAGATGATCTTCATATACTGGACAACTTGAAGAGGAATAAGAAGAAGGTGTCTGTTCAACAGTCTAATCTCAGCAGTAATAACAAAAATAACAACGACATTAATCATGATGGTGATGATGATATAAATGCACAGGCGAAGAATCCAGTTCACTCCAGATGTTTGCTGATGGATGATCGAGGATACCTACTTGCACATCCTAGTTTTTATGAACCGAAACTTGGTGGACCGTTAGAACAAAATCATTTAAGCTATCAGTAAGTTTGATTTCCGTTGAATCTCTTTGTATTACCATATGGGATCTTTTTCACGTAAGCAGTAATAATCCCACTTGAGATGAGCGGTTAAAATCTGCAACTATACGGATACCTGTAATTAATTTGTTGATACAGTGATGTATTTCGTAGCTGTGGAATCTTGAATTGCTTATAGATTTCAGGGTAAAGTTCCTTTCCTTACTTCCAACCGTCCCGTTTTTCTGTTAAGCATACTAGGCGAATTTACGGTTTGCGCGTCTGTCAGGAATGAAACTGGTGTGGTTGAAGTGCATGCTGCTATTGAACCACTGAGGCCTAAGTTGATCTTAGCGTACCATATTACCCTCAATGTTTTTTATGTGTGTGTGTTTGTGTGGATAACTGTAATTCTTCATGAATGTTGCCATTCAAATAACGGAAGTACTCACTCAGAAGGTGACATAGACTTACACTCTGTTGATTTCATTCGCTGATATCATAATAATCACACCTGCTCAAAGTGTTTTGTAGTGAAGAGAAGGGTAATAATTTTCAAAGGATGCATTGTTACTCATAGTGATTGTTCAGTGCTACATATTCCAGAAACCATTTTCCCTTACTACGTGACTTTCTGAAGTAGTAGGCTTGTTAAGAAATGTAGCAAATAATGTTGTATGTAGTCAAAATTGGTAGATAATATCCGTGAATTTCTTCTAAAAGAAATTCGGGACGACAATCGAACTAACGATTATTAAAACCACATGTTGAGTGACTCGTAAAATCTGAAAACACAGCAGTTGTCTAAGATATGGTACTATGTTAAACATAAAATATGAAATATAATATACAAATCTCAATTATGTGGTGTTTGTGTCTGAATGCCATCAAAAACCATAGTCAATGTACGTCAATAAGTACAAACAGCAGAGCTGTGTCAAAAGGCGATCCACGTGTTATTTCAATAGCGCACGAACGCCGGACACAGAATACAGGGATAAAAATCCTCAACAGTAATGTGTTCACAAATAAAGCAGATACAGCAAATAATATTAGGCATGATAGATTAGTTGAGTTGAACTTCAGTGGTTAGGACTCTCGCCGACCATGCACATGGTCCGGGGTTCGATCCCCTGCCGGCGCACACCCGATATATATGGTCGGCCTGTAAATTTGGGCTACCGATATCCATGCTGAAAATTCCATACTTGTACTGAAAATACGGTGTGGAATCAAGCTGTAATCAAAATAAAATATTTAAAAAAACACTACTTACTAGAGATAAGTAGAATAAATTTAACACAAAAGAAGTAATGACAAGGGGATGATAGAAAAGAAATTAGCAATATCCTTATATTCAAATTGCACGAATTCAGTTGCACTCAAGTTTGATCACAGCTTGATATCACTTAGAAAATCACTAATAACCCCAAAGTGCTACAGAGTTGTTTCGTTGTAGTTCAAGACTTTATTTATTTATTGTTTATTTTTTAGTGAACCAATAGTTGCATCAGATTTATTGAATAATGAAAATGTTTTTCAAAAGACCGTTTGTTTAAATTACAATAAACGTACATTACAACGCCAATATAAATTCAACTTATCTATAACTGATCCAATTAAGAATAGTATGTCCGGTGAACAATGCGTAGAATATCAGGTAACAATTTATAGTAGTGTGTTTTTCGTTTTTTTTCCTCTGTCATGTATCAATAATGCATTGATCATTGGAAGGTGGATAACAGGAAGAGAGACTACTTGTTTCTGTGTTGTTCTTTTCTTACATGCACACGTCTATATGCATTAATCCGCTTAATTTGCAAAAGAAAGGTATTACTGTAGACTGTGCAAATTGGTTCCGCATGATTCAACCAATAGTTTCTAGTTTGCGGTGTTCGGTGGGGTGTTTAATTAGGATTATCGCCTCTGATACCGCTTCCTCCATTGCCTACCTAAACTTGACCTGTAGAATACTTTTACCTGTTGTCTGGCATATAAGAATGGGACTTGGGCACTGTGGTAGAGCATAATTCTATAATGCAGAAAATTTATTGTGATTAAGTCACACAGTGTTTAACAGTAATATTTATTGATGACCATGTTTCGACCACAATTTATTGCTCGTAGTCACCACATCAATACAATACTCAAACGACTTTCAAACTTCATTTATACAATTCCATTACTTTTCATCTCTTAATTTGATTGGTACTAATATTTCCCGTATTTTTGGTATTGATGATAAGCCATTATGTCTATCGCATGTGTTGGGTGTAGATTCTATGTGAACAAAGATGCAGTCAGTGATCAACTTCTCTCTGCACCCACCCACCTATATTACTGTTAAAAGTTTCAACTCTCTTCCACCCTATTGTGTGGTTGTGTGTTAGTGCATGCAGTGCAATTGATGAGCTTTTCTTCTAAACTCCTTATCATCGTGGGGTCGATCATTCTAACCTTAGTTAACTTCTTATGATTTGGCACCCTGAATACCCCCGATCTACTCCTGGTGTGACCTATGTAGTTGACTCAACTCAATCATTGCAAGGTATTTTGTAGGTTATATTATTTTGTCTAACTGGGTCAACCTACAGGGTCCTTTAACCAGCAGAGCCTGTCCTCCTTGAGTGAGTTTGTATGCATAATTACCACCCTGATTCCTGTTATTTTAAGAATCCTATATGGGGTCTCAGATACCCCCTCCTTGGATGGTAGGGTTGTAGATGCTTTAAATCCTTTCTAATTTATGTTGTCATTATAAGTTACGCCATTAATTTTATTTTGCTTTTGACCTTTTCTGATATTCCTATTGAATTTTATAGGATACTTGTTTAACACCAACGACTCTTCTATCTATTTCATTTCATTTTTTAGTGCTATTGCTTGGTTCGTTAGACACTTAACTAAGCCAGCCTTTACAGACAACGGATAAGATGATTTAAAGTCTAAATATCGATTAACTGAATGCGTTGACTTTTTATAGACACTAGTGTGCAGTTTACCTTCTTCTGTTGGTTTTATTTTACAATCTAGAATATCTAATTCTCCTAGTTCACTTTCTGGTTCAAATGTGAATTTCATTCCCTTTACCAATGAGTTTATATGCGTCAAGAAGCTAGAGATATGTCCTGTTTTTAACACAGTGAAAGTGTCATCCACATATCTCCAACATATTTTTGGAGTATGATTGAACGTATTAAGAGCTATATTTTCCCAGCTGTCCATAAAGATATCTGCCGAGTTAGGGTATATTGGTAATCCCATTGCTACACCTTCTGTTTTTTCTAAATATTTTGCCCTGAAATTTAAAGATAGTGGAGGTGAGGTTTAATTAAATTCCTAAAATAATTTTCTCAGTGGGCAGCTTTGTCGTATGTGTAAGTTCGGGATGAGCAGTTAGTTCCCTTTTAACCGCTTCCAAGGCCATACTGATTGTTGTAGTAGTGTAAAGAGGAGTGACATCAAAACTAACCATTTTTACATTATTCTCTAATTGAATGTCATTTAGTTTCCTGTTCATTTCGTATAAATTAGTTTGCCTAGAGTTTGAATGATTTCTAATAGGACATAGTATTAGAGCTAAGTGCTTTGATAATTCATAAGTAGTCTTGTTTCTGAAATCTAGTATTGATTGTATGAGGTAACTTGGTTTTGGCATTTATTACAGTATCATATATTATTAGTTTGTATCATTATTATCATTAGTTTTAGGCATTAAATTAAACCATTTTGCGTATTAAATCCGCTATAGATTTCTTAATCTTATTGATTACTGTATCTACAGGCTTTGCAATCTGCTCATATAGAGTCGTCAAGCTTCCCTTAGCAGTCTTCGCGATGACAGTGTTTTTGATCCTGTTTTAGACTAATTAGAGCTAATCTTTCCGATTTTGTGTAGTGAAACTGTGCTTTCTTTTGCTTTGTCAGAGTTGATGCACACTATGCCCGCACCGTTTATGCTGTCGTTTTATCTATTGAGCTTAATGGCAATCTTCCAGTTTTTACTCATTAACTGCTATGTTGAAATTTAATCTTTTCTCAAGTATTTTTATCTGACTAGAGCTTAGTTCTCCTGATGAGTTTGATCACCCACTGATATATACCAGCTGAAGAGTACCGCCACCATTTGATGAATTCATTATTTTCTGCCTTTTTACTTACCTATCATTAGTTGTTTTAAAATCATCTCATACACTGCACCATACGCTTTTACTTTACAGTTGTCAGTTATCCCAGAGACTAATTTAATTTTTGGCCTGATCAAGGAGCATCATCGATTCGGTTGTAGTCCACGTACAGGTTTCTGTCCATGTTCTACTAAAAATCGTCTATGCCTAAATTGTGGTCGAATTGAACCACGTGAATGTGAGTGTCCATGTCAATGCCCTATTGAATTGGATCAGAATTATTGGGTGAATAATCCAATTCAAGAGCAGAATGAAGATATCTACGCGTATCAAACAGTTTTAAAAACCTCTAATCTCAATCATACTGTTTATTCAGTTGAGAAGAAGAAGTTAGGATTTACTAAGAAACATGCAAATAAAACTGGTAGTCTGTTGGATGAAAGTCAACCTGAAACTTCAGCGTTTAAAACAATATATTCTTATCCTCCATGTTTACAAACCTTGGTAAGTGAAAACGTTTGATTGCACCCTTTTTTATTACTGCTACTATTATTTCCATTAGTAGGAACCACTTGAGTCAGACTTTGATTAGCTGATGTCACTTATCTGTTGACAATCATCAGTAGTAAAACAGGCGTATTTTTAACTGTAAGGAAACTTATCTCCCGTTTTAGATTCTACTCATATCGCTTAGTTACGGAGATAAATTGTGATCACATTGTATAAGTTATGTATAGTTTTCGATCAACACAGCTATACTTACATTGGTTACTGTTCTTTGACGTTTTCACATTGTAGTTGAAAGCTAAGATTTCATTATTATTATTATTATTATTATTATTATTATTATTATTATTATTGTTTCCCTTAATTCCTAGAGGAACACAGGGCTTCAGCCGTGCGTCTCCATTGCGTCCGATTCTCTGCTAGAATCTTCACCTGGCTCCAAGTCTGCCCACACGTTTTCATCTCCTCTTCACATGACCTCCTCCAAGTCACCCTTGCACTGACGACCAACTCGCCGCTTCCATTTTGGGTTCCACTCGAGCAATAGCTTGTCTAGTTATGTCACTTGATGGTTTCCTCAGAGTATCGCTAGCCAATCCATCTCCATTTCTTCCTGCCTATTTGTTTCACAATCGGTTCCTGGTTGGTTCGCTCCCAGAGATCCCTGTTACTGATCTATTCTAGCCGGCCATCTGATCTTGAGTATTGAGCGAAGACAACTGTTAATGAAGGCTTGTAGTTTGTTTGAGATGCTCTTTATGACGCGCTGGCCAAGTCTCTGATCCGTATAGTAGCACTGACTGACTTCACATTGGATTTGAAAATCAGGATCTTATTTCTGATGCTGAGTGCTGTTGACCTCCACACAGACTTGAGAGTAGTGAAAGCTTGTCTTGCTTTTCTGATTCTTGCTTTGATATCCTCGTCAGTTCCGCCTGTAGTTGAAACGATGCTTCCCAGGTAGGTAAAAGAGGTTGTTTCTTTCAGGTTCCTCCCATTTATGCTGATTGTTGTCTGTTGTTGTTGTTGTTGCTGTTGGTGGTGTTGGCCAGGAATCTTCATCACCTCTGTTTTCTCTATGTTCACCTGAAGGCCTATCTCCTCTAGATGCTTCTTCTGCTGACTTGTTGCTTTTCACTTGCATGTCTTCCAGTTTGTGGGAAATCAGACATATATCATCGGCGAAGTCAAGATCCTCCGAGTTTTTTGTGTGAGTCCATTTTATGCCCCTTTCCTCATTACCCGCTGTTTGTCGCATTATCCAGTCTACTGCAATCAGGAAAATCATTGGTGATAGTAGGCAGCCTTGTCTTACTCCTGTCCTCGCCTCGAAGGATTTCATTGCTATCACTTTTTTTACACAACTATGGGTTATAACGTGATCGGTGGTTCACTGGTGGAAATCATGCCAGCCATACGAGAAGTTCAGGTTCCATTCCTTTCTGGTGCACTTCTAAACGTCGCGTAGTTTTGGTAGCTGATATTAACCCCGGGAAAGTTAGGCGTGAGGCTAGCAAAGCCACCCGGAGAAAGCAAAACTGCCCGCTGCTATAACTATCAAAGAAAAATTTGAATCTCTTAATGTTCCACTCGGAACGCATGGAAGGAAAAGGGTCATGCAAAACTTGTTTTAAATTTCACGATCTTATTGTGTATTTATTTGTACTCAAAAATTTATGCCATGGCAGTTTTTGATCATCTCCCTGTTGAAATGTTGATGCTGCTTGGGAGGTAGATTTATCAGGCTTTAAGACTGTGAAATATTCTCATTTCATCAGTTAAAAGTTTGTCTGAATGAAGAGTATTTTGTTAATAGAATCGATTCCTATTCTTACAGTTATAATATACAATATCCGATGATTGGAGGCAATCGGCAGGAAGGCATGGACGTAGGTTTCGTACTGGGTGGCATTCACCAGTCAGCATTGCGTACCTACAAACTTGAAGGAAATCATTTCCATTCTGAGATTTGAATCTGCGTCACCCAGTGCTGCAGTCAGAGACGTTACGCCTAAGCTATTCGGACTCGCGATTCATCTCCTGTAGGGACTGTATTAGATACTTTGCGGACTTGGCTAATAGAATTCAATCTGCACCAAGCAAAGGACTATACGCATAACACTAGTTACTAACTGGTATCCAATCAAAGTATAGTATTCATCCATTTTGCTTCGTCAAAGTGTCTAAACCTATTATACCCAATCGTCATCATCGTTTCTCTCGTATTTAATAATATGTTGTAATTCTACTCAGCCCAACACGTTTATCACACAAATATTAATTATTTTGTCACTGTATAACTAACCTATTATTGTAGGTAAAAAACTTATCTGCTGGATAATTGACTATCATACTATTAATAAAAGTTTTATTTCTTAACTGTAAGAACCTGGAGAAAATTTATCGGAAAGAATATTCTTCGTGACGGGCAACTTTTAACTCATGAAGGACTAATATTTCGTTACAGAATTTCATCATGAGCTGACATCGCTTAGACAAACACTGGAAAACCAGCTGGGAGTACTGGGTAGCCGTTTCGTCCTACCTAGGGATTCCTCAACAGCACACACCCACTTCCAAGCTTCGAACCCAGGACCTTCCGGTCACAAGGCGAGCTAGCCCGTAGACCATCAAGCCACTGGTACCCAGTCCAATGGCCGGCCAATGGATTCCAACTTCTGCCGATTCACCATAAAGCACAACCACTAGCTAGGCAACGTCTTCACTGGCGAGCATCTGTCCTCAAACCCGACCTGCTGTACCCCACTGGTCACGATGTCCCACTGGAACCCAGATAACTACCTGCCTGAATGGGGTCAGGCACTAGATTGATAATCAAGTGTTGTTTTGTAGTGATTTTGATTTGAATGGTTTTGGAAGGTCCATGGTTTGAAACCCGCAATGTGAGTGCGCTCTGTGAGGAGTCCCTAGCTAGTACGAAGCAGCTTTCGAGTACTCCCAGCTGGTTTTCCGATTGTTCTCTATCCATTGTCAGTTAACAATGAAATTTAATAATATTTTTATTTTGTTGTTAAAAATTATAATTTAGGAAATGGAACCTGTGAGTGCTGTATCGTTTCATTTTGATCCGTATATCTTTACTACTTCATCAGTGTCTTCATTTCATAAAATCAATGAGGTGCCACCATGTCCTATGAATAATGAACACTTTATGTCTAATGAACATATTATATCTGATCAAAATCAATTAGATCATCAACGACATCAACAACAACATGAATCTATTGAGGAAGTTAATCCTGAACACACTGATCATGCATATATCAATCGACAGATCAATTATGGTGCAAATAATAATAATTATCATAACCCACATGCTAATGATGAACAGCCTTTATCGCGTTGTTCACAGCGTTCACGTTTAACGTGTTCATCAACTGTTGGTTGTGAATGGTGCATGATGACACTGAATAATGAACAGCTGTTGGAGCATCCATTTTGTGCTCCAATCTCAGTTTGTTTCAATGGAGTAGTCGGTGTGAATACGCCAAATTCAAATTATGGTCCATATGAAAGTGGTTAGTCCAATTAGTTGAATATTTGCTATATTGTAGTTTATTTGAAATATTTTGGATTATATGACTAGTTGGGTCTGCTGTTAATTATATGTTGAGTTAGAGGTTTCCTTCGTTTACATGGCTTTTTTTATGGAAACAGCTTATATTTAATTTGAATAACACTAATGCTGTCAAGTGTTCATTGGTAGAAGATTCGCCAACCATGTACATAGTCCAGGTACGATTCTCAGCCGACTCAGTCCTAAACCTAACTAACTTGACCAGAATTAAGCCCTAACTCACTTCAGAGACTCAGGGATTGACTTGCTACCAGGGAATAATCTCGTCGATTTAGAATATGCAGACGATATAGTCCTTCTAGGCGAGGACGCTGACAAAATGCAGAGTCTTCTGAACACCTTGAGTAGCAATCTTCGTATGTTTGGCATGCGATTTGCCCCTGTAAAGTGTAAGATGATGCTGCAGGATTGGACCTCACCGACCCCTAGATTAGAAATAGGGAGTGAAGTGGTAGAGCACGTTAACCGCTTCACTTACTTGGGAAGTACCATCAGCCCCAACGGGTTGATCTCTGACGAAATCTCAGCACGAATACAGAGGGCTAGGTTCGCATATACCAGTTTACGCCATCTTTGGCGTAGACGTGATGTCCGACTATCGACCAAAGGGCGTGTGTACTGCTCAACAGTCCGCTCCGTCCTCCTTTATGGCTGTGAGACCTGGCCATTGAGAGTGGAAGACATGAAAAGATTAGCTGTCTTTGATCATAGGTGTCTGCGTTCTATCTCCCGTGTGAATTGGTATAATAAGGTGAGCAATATTGAGGTTAGGCGTCGAGTGCTAAGTAAGAAGGGGAAATCAATCGACGAGGCTGTGAAATTACATCGACTGAGATGGTTAGGACATGTGTTACCTATGTCTAGTCATCGACGTCCTCGACAATGGGCAATGTTAGCTGATATAGGGTCAGGCTGGAAAAGAGCCAGCGGTAGTCAAACCAAAACATGGCACCAGCCAATGAAATCTACAACAGTTAGCTTAACCCAACCAGACACGTAGGAAGGTGTAGACTTCCTGACTGGTTGGGGTCCTCGGGACAGTAAAAACCAATGGTTGGAAACAATTGGTGACATGGCTCAAAATCGTTCTCAGTGGCGCAGATGCATCCACTCCTTGTGACTTATGATTTCCAATTAAAATGTTTTGTTCTCCGTTATTACTATTCCTTTGTCTCACACCTCTGTTTACTGACTATATTATGCATTTCTTCTAATTGCTTCTCTTACTTTGTGTGCTACATGGAGTGTGGCGATTTGAACAGCCGCACATCAGTGCAAAGTTCTATGTCGAAAACAGACAGACAGAATTAAGCCCGATGAAGTGGGAATGTTAGGCTGGTAATATCACCCCATAAGTAAAATATGCCATCGGTACCTAAACTTCAAAGCTCAGGCTTGAAGCCTTATGTTCGACTAGGTATACAGAGAATTCCAACTTCTCGGCCATTTGATCGGGTCCCAGTGGCATAATGGTCTAGGAGTTCGCCATGTAACCAGTAGGTCCCGAGGTGGATCTCCGGGGGAATGGATGCGTACTGCTAGAGATTTCTCAAACCGGACTGATCAAGACTCTGTCCACTACTACTACCTATTTGTTTTCCCAATAGTTCTCTAACCGATGTCAGCTCATGATAAAATCAAGAAAATAATTCATCTACAAATGAAATGTCCATTTCTACTACGGCTTTTTCTTAATAGTAGACTGTTTGGTTCACTACTAAGCTGCCAATTTTTTCATTCAGCGGTACCCATATATTTCGTATTTTCAGTAATTCAACAAAAAATTCAGTCGTAGTATGAACAGCGATTACTGTCATTCTCCAGCTAATTAATGTGCCCTTATTGGTTTGTAGCAATTTGACTGATTGCAAATTTAATTTAATTAACCTAATTTAATTGAGAACTTGCTTCTTTTTGAACAGCTTTAAAGGTAGCTAGCCTAATAGTTCCTGGGATCATGAAGTGGCACTGACGAAGAGTCCCAAAATAGTACAAAACAGTCGCATGGTAATCCCCCTTTGGTTCGCAGCTATTGACTTACATTTTTCGTCTGGTGGTATGCATATATTGTTTTTATAGTGTAGATTAGTAGGATTTTCTTCGAATTATTTACTAGTAGTAGTTCTCCGTGAAAAATATCATCAATCGCTTATATTTTTCAATTTTTATCCCTTTTTTTCTCCCCAAAGATTTTTCATCACTTGATAATAATGTGAATAATCTTAATAGTTATACCTATGCTATTCGAAGTCGTCAGGAATCTTTAGAGTTGAAAAAATTCTCTGAATTTCAAAGCAAAATGTCATCTTTATCCAAATCTCAGATGTTAGAAGATAGTTCAACTGTTCATGATGGAAGAGTATTACCAGCTTCTCTACCGATTTTGCGTACTCAGTCATCATCAGTAGCAGAAACTTCACATTCAATGTCCAATAGTCCAATCAGTGTATACAATCGAAAGGTGTCACATGATTTACTAGCATTATTTTCAAGACATTCGGAGAAAATGTCTAGTCGAAAAATTATTTCAGCTGATTTTTATCCAGATTTGTATAATTCGTTGAAATTGTTATCTTCATCTAACAATAATAATAATAATGGTATTGATGAGAATGATGAATTTATCCGCCAATATCCACATTCATTCATTATAACAAATCCTGTCGGTTCAGTGATTGGTGGAGTATTAGTTACATTTATTATTTTTCTGCTGATCATTTATACTATTAAATATCGTCGACGTCTACGTGAACGTTTCATGCCGAATTGTTTAAACACGGGGAATCGTGTAGTGAATGTTTTGCCGCCAATGGAGAGTGAAGCTGAGGCGGTTAGTTTAAATACTTCATCGGTTAATTCACATGTAAGTGATCTTTAATGAATTACATTCTAGTGGCACACTCATACTAATCGTTAAAGGGTCAGACAAGTAGATGTTTGTGTTTTTTTATTATTGATGCATATCGTGAAAGTCTTATCCCCCAATCCCTTGCTTCGTTGTGACAGAGATTTCTATTCAGGTAAATTGGATAGAAAATTCACTCACATACCATATTGGAGGAAGATTTGTCCACTGAAATATAATATTAACTGTCTTAAGCGAATAAATATCCAATCACTCACGTGGTTCGACGTTCGATCCCCGGTCGACAAGACACTTCTTTACCTCACTCAGCCGGTAATAAGATCGAAAAAGCTGTTGTATGCTTTATTAGTACATTTTTCAGCATAATAAGTTGTTTTCTGTCATAATACCTTTATGAACATGAGTTTACTAGGATAGTTAACAATTATGAAGCCATCTTTTAAGTATAATGGAGAAGATTTGTAATTCAGGTGGATGATTTTGATGTAGTTGTGTTCTCTGAGCTAGATAGTTTACTTGTCAAGCTTTCATTGCCGTACTGGGTGACATCTTCAGTGCATACTTGAATTTGAAGTGAGCTTTTAAATATATCCACAAGTTTATTAGTCATCTCCGCTAGTGAGTAACCTTGAACGTGATCGGTTACTCTTGTCCGTGTTCACACCCTCTAGTCTACTGGCATCGGTATTGATTATTTCCATAACCTTAAACACCAAGAACGCCAGAGAATTCTTGGAAGCCTGGTATTTCAGTGAATTGGCAATTAAAAGGCACATTAAAATAGGTAGAATTTACCAATCCATCAGAGTGAACTCTCATGCACAAAAAATCAAACTTCAGATCAAGGAAGCAATCACTACCAATACAGGTAGCCTAAAGGGTGTGAAAACGAACAAAAGCAATCATTCACATTCAAGATCACCAGGAGAGATGTCTAATAAACTCGTGGATATATTTAAAAGCTCACTTCAAATTGAAGTATGCACTGAAGATGTTGCCTAGTAAGGCAATGAAAGCTTCGCAAGTGTTTATTTAATGTGAACAATCCAGTCCTAAATCTGCCTATTTCCTACCCGTTTTCCGAGGCAACATTGTTGGCTTTATTTCACTACCTTTCATCTCACAAGTCAGTTGAATTCCTCTGCTTTATCAGTTTATACGCCTAAATTTCTCTCCAGAAATTTAAAGTAATTAGTACCTTTAATGAATTTCGACAAAACAATAAGAGACCGTAGCTTATCTGATGCGTGTGATGTATTTTTGCAATACACTTCGGACATTCTGATGACACGTACTTATCATAGACATTTATATAGGAGGCAAGACAGCATGAATTATTACAACACACTTCAAGGTCACAAGTAGTATTACTTTAAACCTGCTTTGGTAATTCAGCTAAGAACCAAGGTTCAATTTACTCAACGATATTTTCATCCCTCCCTCCCTTTTTGTCTTTCTTACCCCACACGCTGACGTCATCTTCCTACTCCTAATTTGCAACCTTGACCTGTACACAATTGGACGTGTATTGTAATGATTCACATGTATGACAAGTACGTGTGTGTTCAGAATATCCGAAGTGTTTTGCCCAAATACAATCACACGTTTCAGATAAACTAGGTCTTCGTATTGTTTTAGGTGAAATTGATTGTCAGCACTGCAAAATATGTTACCTGCCTATCCTCAGTGTAATATTTTTAGGATGCTTTTAGATTGACATCTGACTGTCATATTTAATTCGACTAAGAACAATAAATTTCGTTCAAACGCCCTCCAGTACCTAATCTAACTTCATCATCTGATATATCTGATCAGTGATTTCAAATTAGCCTCAGATGATAAATGGTCGTTTTTTTAATTTTCGTAGAGGAGATTGTCTTTCCCATCTATCGGAAGTAGGAATAACATATATATATATATATATATATATATATATATATATATATATACATATATATATATTCTTTATCCATCTATCTGCGGATTTATCTATCAATCTTTAACTCCAATTGGCCTACTTGTGTTACATAATTTTATCAGTTTTTGCCTGTAATGTTTGTTTTCTACTCTTTCGAAGTATAAATCCTCAGTAACCACTACTGATACGCATACGTGTATATTTCTTCTTTTTCCTCACATCTTTCCAATCAGTGTGATAAGTATTCATCAAATAATCAACAAAACTCAGATCCTACCGATCAATGTCCACGTTTCAATCATCATTTAGACAGCAATAATAATCAATCTCAACCACCACCACCTCCGCCCCCAGCACCTGCTTTAGTTTGTATTTCCAATGAATCAGTTGATGATGGAGATAATGACGAAGAAGGAACAACCTGTGTAAATTCCTCCGATGAACAACCTTCATCAACTGGTATTGGTCCAAGTGATACAGAGAGTACAAGTCAGGTTTATGAAAATCAACAATTAGGTAACAGTGCTAATCAATCTTCTGTTATTGCCGCTGTTGCTTCTTCTTCTAGTACCACTACTACTAATAATACTACTACTGACAATATCGAAATGAGTAGTATAAATAAATATCCCGAATCAACAATACTATCACCATATTGGATTGTAGAGAATTGTTTACAAAAGGTTAAATATTTAATGAATACTTATGAAATGCATACTATGAACCATCAAACAATGTTCGGTAGTGAAGTAAGTGCTCTGTCCTGGTGATTGTGATCACCTTTTATATCCATTTTTGCATAATGTGTGTCTGTGTCTTACTTTGTATAAAAATAAGTCGCTGAATTGACAGCCACTTAGCTTTTGAGTGTTGTACAGTTTGAAATATGTAACCACTAAGCTATGAGTACAGTGTATTGTGTTGAATGCTAGGCGTTAAATTTGTTCGATATCAATTTTAAAGTTTTATTCTCTTCAAAGAAGTTTATCCTGCATATTACATCATAGTATCTGTGCTTTGCATGAAGTTTCTGTAAAGATTAGATTGATTTTCCGGAGTGAGTTTGCTAGCCCTACGGCCTTTTAAAGCCAGCAATAAACTACTGTTCTTGCAACCTTTAGTTATATTATAAGAACTCAGATGTAAGCTGGTTTATCTAAACAAAACGAAAAAGCTGTAGGGAAATCGCTAAATATTTCACAACCATCAAAGACGCCTTATTGATGTCAGCTGAGTAGTGAGATAGTACAAATGCAGTAAACAAATAGTAGCTTCCTCCTGGGGTTAACATATTTTTGGGGAATAAATATTCAAGTATTGGTTTGTAGGAATTTTCTTTGATTGGTTGGAGGATTTTATTATAAGCTGACATCAGTTAGAGAACCATTTGAAAACCGCCAGAGAGTACTAGTTTGGAAATCTTCAACAGTACTCACAAGTCACCAGAATTCGAACCCAGAACCTTCTGGTTACAAGGCGAGCTAGCTCATAGACCATTAAGGCACTGTGACCCGATCTAATGGCATGTAAATTCTTACTTCTGTCAATTCACAACATAGCACGACCATTCAGTAATTTATTCTTTGAGTACCTTCCCTCACCTACCTGCTTCACCCTACTGGCCATGGCTTCCAGCTAGAACCTCAGGTTTATGCCTGAATACGGCCAGTCGCCAGTGAGCATCAGATCAATTTTGAATTATTGGTTTGTAGGGATGATATATTATTATTATTATTATTGTTATCAAGATAATATTATCTTCCGTGTGATGGTTCCTGACACAACATTTAATCGTCAAGTGCTCATTATTACTCTAAACAAAGTCATCTTCACAAATTTCAGAAGTTTTTTTTTCTTTCTTTAATGATTATGTTTAACTGCGTCACATACTTTTATCTTGATAGCTTTCAAAACTACACAGTGAACTGTTACTCTCAAAGGATAGACTGTGTGCTACGAATTGTGCAATCCCACCAAATCCATATCATACAAATTCACTAACTAATAATACTTCAACAGTTCAGGTTGGTAGTGGTGGGGGTGGTGGTGGTGATCGATTATCGACAACACAGTTGACACCCGGTGGATATTGTAATATAATACTATCATCACAGCACACTGAATCGCTACCGTACGATCAACCGAGTGAATTTGGAGATTCTGCTGTCGGTAGTGATTGTGCTACAGCTCCATCCTGTGCATCTTCATCATCCTCGTCGAATATGAAACATGTTTGTTCTAAAACGAAAAACACCCTTGAAAATGACTGTTGTCTACATGAACAATACCACCACCATCAACAACAACAACAGCAAGGAAAATCGCAACATCATCGTATTGGTGCCAGTGGAAAAGTCTATATCGATTCCGTTGTGCATGGAACAGATAGGCTTATAAAATAAGGTAAGTTTTAAGCTGATGCATTTTTCTGAAGTAATACAGTATGTGGAAACATCTTTTATATTAACGTGTGACTTCTGTGATTAGAGAAAGGGTTTTTATTGTTACTCATCGATGGTAGAGAATGCTCGCCAATCATGCACAGTGATCGGAATTCGACTTTCTGCTGGCGCACTTCTTTAAACCTCTGCTAGCCGTTAGTTAAGTTTGGTAAAGAGTGAAAGTTAGGCATGAGACTAGCAATCACATCCCGTAAAAATATACCACTACTACTGAAACGTCAAAGCTCTTAAGCTTTTGGCTCTATATCCCACGTGAGATGCAAAGAATGGAGACAAAAACTGATACCTGCCTTTCACTACAAAATGGCATAATCATGCCTTTACTTGTCCAGCTTATCTCTTTACTTACCGGTGAGGTTCATAAGCCGACATACTAAATTATGCTCACCAGTTTAATTAATTATTACCCACCAAGTTTGATAACCTCTGCTTTCTAGATGATCCAATTTCATGAAAATTGTATGGTGTATTCAATGATTTCTTGAGTTGACAGGCTTTTCAAGGCTTTGAAAAATTAAATCTGAATACTTAAAACAGACGGTAGGGTTTTCATTTAGTCCAGACATTCTGGACTACTGTCTTCTTTTGACGTCGTTAACACGCGTTTCTGTGCAGAGAACCTCTAGTCAAATTATCAGTTGCGGAGGTTCACCTTTGTTTTGATAATGAAATTTTCACTCGAGACAAATCACATCCGTGTCACTAGGTGTCTGTATTTGACAGCTTCTAGCATTTTGCCAAATCAACCGACAATCTACAAGGAGGCCACTAATTGTTGTCATCGTAATAATTTGATCATTTCCCACCTTTTCTCAACCTAGTAGTGATTTCAGCTAAAAAGGTTACGATGTTGTCAAACTTATGCTGTCAAATATGTCATTCAACAGTGATCTGTCTATCTTTATAGGAGGCTAAACCATTCTGACTATATTGCTCACTAAGAATTTAGTTCATACATACATCACTTAATACTTGTCTAAATTGCTTTTTTATTAAGTGTTTTTTTTTGAGAAAAGCTTCACTATTTGTTGATGTTCGTTGTCCTTCTACCTTAATCACAAAAAGTAATCCGCTGGTTGGTGGCATTAAAAAATGAAATCTTCTCAATAGCTGAGTGCCATACACATTTTGATTATGTAAAATTGATGAAGAAGTGAAGACAAACTGAAAACTCTTCTTAGTCGTAGGACTGGAATTAATCGCCTTCTCATTACACCAGTTCACACTGAACTATCAACTAAGTCTTCATTTCATCTTTAACCTTGATTTTATTACATCAACCAACAACAGTCTGCCCCAAACAAATAGACTGCTTTGGATGAAGATAAAGTGTAACAACCACCAAATGACATTGAAAAAGAAAACAATCCGAATAAAGAACTGTGAAAATCCGTAACTCCTAACTCTAATCTAACCGTTAAGCGTAACCCTAGATATCTAAAGTATATAAGATTAGGCAGGACTCTTCTCGAGACACACAACTAGCACTACATTCATGACTACAGGCATGATTGTTTGCCCAGTGTTATTTCATGGCTGTCATAGTTTATCTTCACTGTGTTTCTGTACACTAAGATAAGTTTGAAAGTCATAGTTCCTCTTAATTATCCTAAGTCGTTACATTTTTTTTAAAGGAAAGTAAGTCTGATTACTAGAATCTCGTGGTATGAATGAATTGTACTGTGTGATATGGCCGTTAATACACACTTGGTAGTTGCGCTAACGAATCTCCTACCTAGTCGATTCGGGAGCCTCTATTAGCGACTACAATACCAACAGCACTGTACGATACCACGGAAAACGCTACGTAAGAAGACAAGAAGCGAAAGGCAAACTGTGGACGTGGAGAGCTTTTACTGTCTCGTATTTATAGCGAAAATGATTGACAGTGCTTGCGTATATATGAATATATCATTGTTTTCTTGTTCATTGGTAAGTATTCCTGTGATATTAATTGTATTTCTTATGTTTCTTTATTTCAGCAACAGTTGATGTTTCGGAACATCGGGGGATCTGCTTCTTTTGTGCATTTATTTACCTTCATAAATGAAGCAGTTGCCATCACCCTTACTACTAGTAGTAGTACTTATTTTATTCCTCATCAGTAGTATATTTACAGTTCCAGTGCAATTAATATAATATTCATTATTTAATCTTGACATACATATTTTTTTATTAGTATGTATATTTCAGCATTATTATTATGCATTTATGTTTCAATAACCGGTAACTGTTTTTATCCAATTAATCATTTTGTTTTGCATTGCATTTTTCTCTTGTAATATTTTTAGCAGTATTTTTCTTTTTTTGATAACACTATTGTATAACTTTATTTTTAATCAATTACATTAATTTTTTTCTTCTCATCTTGGTTTGTTTTATTATTCAAGGCAGCCTTTTCGCCTTTTTAACATTGTGCTGATGTGTAAGTAGTCATACAGTCACACACTCTCACACACACACACACACACCAAATTCATTCATTCATAAACCGAATAGTTCAACACTGGTTTGTCTTTTCACTGTATAATTCGATATATATACTCTTATATGTGATGAATTAATATGAAGCAGTGTTCTAGCCCAATTGGTTATCCCCATATATGTGATAATGATTAATTTTGCTATTCAAGTATTGGTTTTTAGGGATTTGGTTGATTGGTTACAGGATTTCATCATGAGCTGACATCAGTTCGAGAACCACTGGAAAACCTGGGAGTACTGGACAGCTGTTTCGCCCTAGTTTGGGACTCTTCATCACTACGCACCCACCGGGGTTCGAAGCCAGAACCTTCTGGTTACGAGGCGAGCTCGTATACCACTAAGGCACTGGGACCCGATCTAATTGCCCATGGATTCTAACTTCTGCCAATTCGCGATATAGCGCAACCGCTAGCCAATGTCTTCGGCGAGTATTTCTCCTATTTGGCTAGCGGTTGCGCTATATCGTGAATTGGCAGAAGTTAGAATTCATGGGCAATTAGATCGGGTCCCAGTGGCTTAATGGTATACGAGATCGCCTTGTAACCAGAAGGTGCTGGGTTCGAACCCTGGCGGTGGGTGCGTAGTGATGAAGAGTCCCAAAGTAGGACGAAACAGCTGTCCAGTACTCCCAGGTTTCCCAATGGTTTTCTAGCTAATGTCAGCTCATGATGAAATCCTCTAACCAATTAATTTTGCATTTAGTTAATGTATGTGTCTGAGTTCGTATCGGGCTTTTAAGTACATTGAGTGTTTGATAAATACATGCGTATGTAGGAGATTATATGACATATGCCGTTTTTTTCCGAAGTGGCACTACACCTTTATTCGGTGGACGTAACTCACCAGGAAATTTTGCATTCACCCATTGTTTGTTCTTGATACTTATGAATAGCAGTCTTTCCCTCCAGTATTGTATGATTAGATTTGCGAAACTACACATAAGATTTATCATAAATAGTCACATTCTGAACTTCCTCACGCTTTTCAGAAATCTCCTGATGGCGATGAAATGTTTGGATTACAGATTTTGCTCATTGACCTCGACAACCAACCCGTCTCTCAACTGTGTATGTATCTCCAGCTGGTCACGGAAATTACATCTGACCGCCTGTGACTGCATCTGAATTGTGAACTCTTCTACAGATATATAGGTTGGTCTCATAAAGCCACTAAACTTTGCTCTTTCTATTATATTGGAATTCCTGGGCAGGAGACACTGAATAAATAATTTTTTTAGTTTGTCATAAGGCTGGGATCCAAACCGACTTGGGATAAGATAAAGTTTTTAAAATAGAATAATACTCTTTTCCCACTGAAGTAAGGAAAAAAGCTGTCTTGTTACCGTGACTAATTTTCTTAGTAATACATCACTATTCAAATCGTTCTAAGTATTTCTAGGCTTCCGGTGGAGAACACAGTATCGAATTTCTTGAAAAAATTGCTCATATTTCTTCTGAACTAAAGGTAATATCTTGCTTGATCATGCTCGTGATGACAAGTTTGCTATTTTTCCAATCGAATTAAGAAGTAATTTACCCGAATTCTGTACTAACTTGAGCCTGTATCCAGAGTCAAACAAGAAACATACGAATGGTACTAATAATTTTGTATTATTAGAATAACCGAAACCCAGCTACTCAGTTAGTCAGACAACAAACATGTATAATGTAGCTTTATTCCTCATCCATGCTAATTGTAGCTTCCTAGTTCGTTGCTACGGTGGTTTGCTGACAAGTTATGTATTTTTTTGTATGCTTTCTAAATGAAATTTCGTACTATACCAAAAAAATTTTCTCTGGGTGGCATTAGATTCTTGAACTGCGTCACAACTGCTGTACTTTTATCGGAAAGTGTTGCTTTAGACTGCTATCTGCGCAATGTAGTGCATTAATTGCAGGTAGTAAGTTCAAAAACTAAACGTGTATTGGATTTTCACGAAATCATGTTGGTATATTTCCTCCTAATTATTGAAACGGCCTAAAACTCCAACGGGTAACGGTGTCACTAATTCAAAAACACGGATATGCCATATAATCTCTAACCCAGAAGTTTCTGGGTTCGAATCCCTATGCGTACGTGCTTACTGTGAAGACTCCCAAACTAGGGCGAAACAGCTGTCCAGTACTCCTAGCTGGTTTTCCAGTAGTCCGCTAACTGATGTCAGCTTATGATGAAATCCTCCAACCAATCAAACAAAACCAATACTTGAAAACATACGATTAATTATTGTCACATACATGAGAATAACAAGTAGGGCTAGAACATTGCGTATTAATTCATCCTATATAACAGTATATAGAATTAGAAAGTTAATACAGACAAACTTGTATTACTTATTGATTTATGAATGATATGTGGCTTTGTGGACATTTAAAAATTAGCATATCACTCAGTATTCTGGGATCCATTCAAAAGAGTCTTATCTGTGTAGCTGTGTGAATGATTATATCATACAGGCAAGTGGTATTCACTGACAAAAAGGAATTTCTCCTAGGTCCATGTATAATTGATTAGTATTCTGATGTTTAACTAGGTGGTGTTTTTCGTCAGCGACAGATGTATCCATATATCCTGGTATACCTACACATCGATAATTAGGCTTAAGGTTGGTTTTCAACATAGAACTTTGCACATATGTGCGGCAGTTCAAGTCGCCACACTCCATGTAGCACACAAAGCAAGAGAAGAAAGTAGGAGAAATGCATAATATAGACAGTAAACAGAGGTGTGAGTCAAAGGAATAGTAATAACGAAGAACAAAACAGTTTCTTTGGAAATCATAAATCACAAGGAGTGGATGCATCTGCGCCACTGAGAACGATTTTGAGCCATGTCACCAATTGTTTCCAACCCTTGGTTTTTACCGTCCCGAGGACCCCAACCAGTCAATGAGGAAGTCTACAGCTTCCTGGTTGGGGTCTTAAACGAAGTATATATTTCTAGTCTCATTAGTAAACACAGCTCAGTCGAAGCTATTAAACATACTAGTTGCCTTCGTAATAATAAATCCCTGTTTAAACATAAGATAATATTGTGGTGTGATACGGACAGTATATTCCAACGGAATATTATTCTCACATGTATATATATTGGAAGAACACAGAGAAGTGCTATTGTCCGCATCTCTGAACACATACCAAAGAACCTGAGACTAACGGGCTCACAAGCATTAAACAGTGCTATTGCACACCATCCACTGGAAACTGGTCATGTTATTGACAATCTGAAGGCGTTCAAAATAATCCACAGACAAAAGAAACCTAGCCTGCTTCGTTTTCCTGAGGCAGTCGCCATCAAACGGCTAAAACCAAATCTATGTACTCAGAAAGAGACAGTGGTGAATCTTGCCCTGTTCTGGTGATAACAAAGTGCAGAAGTTTCACTATATCAGCTAGCTATTGTCCTGTTTAGAAAACTTGAATTTCTCGTCTCACTATGACTTATGTTCATCTTATGAAAACCTGTTTTTCAGTGGTTACGTAACCTATTAGTTTCTACACTCTTTCTACGCACAAAACATCTGTTGAACTCTTTCCTTTTGTTTTCAAGCTTAGTCATGCAATTCTTCTATAAATAGTCAGTCCTTTTACTCTGAATTATTTAACAACTGACATCATTCCTGACCACTGTTACTATTCGTTCTAATCAATTACTCCTTATCATTTTAAAAGAAAGCATGTTTATAACTTTAATTTAATTTATAATTATGGTATTGTAACCAGTTGAAAAGAATTCACGAAATAATAATGAACCCAGATTATCCTGGTACCTTTTTCGTTCTTGCAAATCAAACGATCAGCGAAAGCCGCCCTCGAGAAAAATCATTTTACCACATAAAAGAGCATATCTCAAGTCACTGATGCCTTTTTTTTCCTTCACGTTCCCCAGTGGAACAGGGCTTCAAGCTAGTGGCTTGAATTTTCTGTAGCAGTGGTTATTTTACAGGATGGGGTTGCTAGCCTCATGCCCAACCTTTCCTCTTCACCAGCAATGTTTCTGGCTTAGCGAGGTATAGGAGTGCGTCGGCCGGGGATCGAACCCCGGACCACGTGCATGGTCGGCGAGTGTCCTAACCGCTATACCACCGACGCACTGATGCCTACGTATCGATAAAATCACTCTGATAGGTCCCAGCATAAAAATGGTATATTATCCTTTCTCACAGATCTTGTGATGCAGTTATTATGTGCATCTATCCTTTCTCACGCATATTGTGATTTATTGTATAATCAATTCATCATCCTTTTGTCTCACTCTGGTCTTTGTCGGATCGTCAACCAATCGGGAAAGATATTTCCAACCAATAAGAAGAATACATTATCACGGTTGTGAGCCGACTTTATTATAGTTAAGCAATTGTATAAATATTATGTGTTGTTTCTTAAACTATATAGTATGGCATAATACAATATCTTACAGTCACAGGCCAGCCTTTGTTATTTTGATATTTGCGTGGCTTAGTGAATCGGAAGGTGCAACGGACAAATAGACACGTACTAGCGTACCAGTCGAGTTCATTACCATTATAGTAATTAACAGGCACAGACATAACAAATTAGCGAACGGATTTATTCATTTCAGTCCAGTTCAGACATAACACACTCCATTCAACACTACATAAACTACAAGAACGACAGAAAGAGGGGAAAAAAGATGAACAGCATCTACCAACTGTGAGAAACACTGCTGAATCAACTGGATGTCCTTTTCTACATGGAATTTTAAAACAATATGTATTCCTTCATATCATCGCATAAAGACAACAACGTACACCGATTTGACTGAGAGAATATAAAAATTTTAAGTTACCGCAGAGTTCCTGGACCAGTGTGCAGTTATTACTTCAAAATTACCAATAAATAAAGATCAAGACGTGGCAAAAATGCAAATATCAAATCAATGCCAGTACAAATGAACACAAGGATAAAACTACTGAACAAGTTTTTGTCATGTGCCCGGTCATCAGCTAGCCGCATTGTATGAAACGATAAGAATGCTAGTCATTTTTCAGGTTGGATAGAGTAGGTGGTATGGGATTCGAACCTTAGACGTAATGGCTGAAGGTCCAGTGTTTTAACTAGTGAAACACACCTCTATCTACGGAAGTATTATTATCAAAACACAAGATTCAAAATCTGTCCTTTTTTTAACTAAAACAGTATAAAATTAGAACTTGTCTTGTACTCTTTTATTATATTTTCATCTATGGTTACGATGATAACGCATATATTTTAATGCATCACAATAAATTAGGGTAGACATTTTTCTTTAATAAACTCCATATTAGTTGTTGGAATGAGAAAATCAGTTACAGGTGCTTTAGTTCCCGTTTTGTCCTTGTAATACTCACGATGCTTTTGAACTGCCTAAAAGAAGAAAATAAATCACAAAACAAAAATATCAATTCTGATTTTCTTTTTTCTTTTCTTCATGACAGTTTATTCAACGAAAGAGAGAGAGAAAAAAGACTGTTAATGATAAATTATTATCTGAAATATGCCATGATTGTGGCGTTTGCTACTGATAACTTTCATCAGTAGTATGTGAAGAAACGTTCACCGGCATAAAAATATCAAATAGCATGAACATAGATTTGCTGTCAGAGAAAGCAAATAATACAGCATTACGGAAAAACATGGGAGACACGAAAAAGGAACACCAAGAAACACAATATGAAGGAAGGCAAGAAGTAGCAGGCTCAACACGGAAGATCTGTGCAAAAATGGTGATTTAAAAGATAACGTGTACATAATTTGGCTATACAGGGGTAGGAAATTCCAAGTCTCTCAACTTCTACAGTTACAACTGGGGTGTTTTTATGCCGATGAATTTCTATTTATACACTACTGCTACTACTAATTAATCTTATTAGCGGCACATGATACATGATGACTTCTATATTGTGGGTTTTTTTAATGTTTTTGCATTGATATCCAGGAGCTTGCCTTTCTGGAGTAGACGATGAATGTTTCCAACGGCTGTACTCCCACTATACGGGCTAAAAGTTTCCATTAATCTTCATTCATTCAGCTTTTACGCCTCAATTCATTCTCTTTTTTACTAATGTATTATTTCTGTCACTCAATTTCACTCCTTTGGATTTGTTGAAAGAATTAAGGATTTAAATATATTGACAATAAATTCATGATATCAGTCACTTATTCACCGATTTACGATTTATGGAGACAGTAGACTTTGTGTGCGAAAAACTCATAAGACGAAACATTGATTTCAGCATTCTTATACCTTTTAGTAAAAAAGCTTCCCTTGAAATGCTCAGTTTTTAGTAAGTAAGGAACTATACAGACAAATTGATTTTGTAGCATAGGGTAGCCACTAAGACCCATTCCAGCTGAAATTTTCCTTGTAAAACTAGAGAATGGGCCTTTGAAAGATGTAACTGATGAACTAGAATTCTACTGTCATTATATGGATGATACATTTTTGATTATGAAAAATGAGGATGAAGCAAAGAAAATCCTGGACAAATTCAACGATGTTCATCCTGCAATAAATTTGACCATCGAGAAAAAAAGAGACTCTAGTATTTCATTCCTAGACATCCGAGTGACTAGAAAAGAGGATGGTACTATAAAATGAAGTGCATACAGAAGACTTATATCAACTAGTCAGTATACTCACTTTTTCAGCTTCGTACCTTAGAACTACAAACGTCATCTAAAAAAGTGTTTGATGTACAGAGCAAGAGCGATTTGTTCTGATGAATGTCTTAATGAAGAATTTAGTATGATTAAACAGTTCCTAAATGAGACCTGCTACTTAATAAAATTTATCGATAAGAATATAAATCAAAAGTCAAGGCACAGACCAAAGTACCAACAGTTCCCAAAAAGGCCTTGTTCTTACAACTTTACTTCCTCGGGGATAATATTAGCAAGATGTTAACAGAACACCTAAGTATTACGGTGAAAAGATCATTCGGTGCTGCTGAAGTATGCTGTGTCTTCAAAAACCACACATATTTTCCTTTGGAAATATAAATACAAACTGCCTAATTTCGCCTCTTCTATGTGCACCTATCAATTTGACCGCCTCTGTGAAGCCACTTAGCTGTTTAGGCCCTACAATTAGGCATGTTTATTGTCAGATTTCCAAACACCATCCTGCATGATTAAGTAAGGGGGAAAAAAGTTCATTCATATTTTTATAAGGTCTCATCTCGTAGATACAGAAAATACAAAGTCATCTACCGCATGCTAACTAATCCTAATTTTTCCTCAAGAGATCGTCTATTACATATTACTGAGGCCGTTGGAATCCACATTAAGAAGCCTTATATATGTATCCAAAAGAAGTTGGTTCAGACACTCTCCCTATCTCACTAGCTATCAAGGTTTTAGTGATCCTCAATTTGTTGTGGAAATTTCCTTAATTTTATTTGATATTCTATTAACTATTAAATTTTCATGTTTATTATGACTTTTGCATCTTTCTTGAACTGTAATTCCATTGATCTCACTTAACAAATAGATAGTATTTATGAGTACCGGTATTGTAAATGACGACTATTCTAGAATACCCTATACATATAAACATATACAAATATATGTATATATATAAATGTAGGGCCAGAATAGGAAATTACCGAAAAGGATATTCCGTGCTCAATTCTTTTTAAAATGTCTGAATGAATATTTTCGTTATAATGGAAATACGATGAAATGTTTACAGAAAGTCTGTATAAGCAATCAATCCATTGCTAATAATAAACAATGATAGAGATAACAATTTTCACATATTGCTTTTGTAGGGATTTTGTTTGATTGGTTGGAGGATTTCATCATGAGCTGACATCAGTTAGAGAACCATTGGAAAACCAGCTAGGAGTACTGGACAGCTGTTTCGTCCTAGTTTAGGACTCTCCATCAGTACTGACTCGCTGAGATTCGATCGTTGTAACCAGAAGGTCCTGGGTTCGATCCCTGGAGATGGGTGCGTACCAATGAAGACTCTTAAACTAGGACGAAACAGCTGTCCAATACTCCTAGCTGATTTTCCAATAGTCCTCTAACTGATGTCAGCTCATGATGAAATCCTCCAACCAATCAAACAAATTCCCTACAAAACCAATATTTGAAAATTGTTTTCTCTATTATTGTTTATTATTAACATTGGATTGACTGCCTATACCGACTTTCTGTAAACATTTCACCGTATTTCCATGATAGCGAAAATATTCATTCAGACATTTTAAAAAACACTGAGCACAGAATATCCTTTTCGGTAATTTCCTCTTCTGGCCCTACATTTATGCATATACATATATTTGTATGCGTTTATATTTACAGGGTATTCTAGAGTGGTCGTCATTAACAGTACCGGTACTCATAAATACTATCGATTTGTTAAGTAAGACCGGTGGAATTACAGTTCAAGAAAGATGCAAAAGTCATAATAAACATGAAAATTTAATAGTTAATAGAATATCAAATAAAATTAAGGAAATTTCCACAACAAATTGAGGATCACTAAAACCTTGATAGCCAGCGAGGTAAGGAGAGTGTCTGAACCAACTTCTTTTGGATACATATATAAGGCTTCTTAATGCAGATTCCAACGGCCTCAGTAATATGTAATGGATGAACTCTTGAGGTAAAATTAGCATTAGTTAGTATACGGTAGATGACTTTGAAAGCTTCGTTAACATCAATTTTGTGTTCCGAATCGACAAGATGAGACAGAATAGAGCTTTTGTGCATTCAGATTGATTATATTATTTTCTACACTTATTATGTCATGCCAAATACTATTTCTAGTCTACACTTGTGCATTCTCTCTTAGATCATAATTCACATTCTAGGAACATAACTCATTGAACGTAATTGTCAATATTTCTGTTGAATGTTGAATAGGATTATATGTAAATATATATCAGAGCAACAACACTGAGGTACAATTAATACAAATTATATCGACTGTTACTTAATACATACCAAGTCAAATTGTCTAAGTTCATTAGATCTCTGATCATCTTTATTATAAAGTTGACAATAGAATCTGTCACCATACCGTTGTCTACCTTGTATTCTTTTATTAATAACAAGATCTGGATTATGCGATAAAAATGTCGGAAAATTTCCTCCATCTTCATACGGTGTCATTGATGACTGAAGGACTGTTGAACGATAATCTTGAAATTGTTTACATGTATATGCTCCATATGTTTGACCATAATCAAATTTTTCACCTGGACAGTGTCCTCGATAACTGGTGATGACAGAAGATACAAGAGATTCGATGTGTTTTTTTTAAATTGTAATCCACGAATTTCGAATAATTTCAATAAAGCAAGAAAAAAACATTTTGACAGAATGTTGTGTGTAAACGTAAAGTTTCAGGTTAGACCACCAATTGATGTCAGTTAGAGAACCATTGGAAACCAGCTGAGAGTTCCGGACAGCTGTTTCATCCTAGTCTGCGATTCACCGTCAAACGCAGTACCTTCCAGTTACAAGGCAAGCGCATATACCATTCAGCCACTGGAACACGATTCAATGACCGGCCCATAAATTCTAACTTCTACCAATTCGTGATTTTAGCGCGATTACCATCAATATCATCGGTGGAAACTGCAGCCTCACTCCCGACTGGATGGACCCCACTGCTCACGACTTCTCACTAGAACTCCAAGCAACTTCATCCCTACAAACCAATTCTTAGAAATTAATCTGATGCTTGCTAGTGACTGGCTACAGAAGGAAGTTGCCTGAAGTTTTAGTGGGATCCATCCAGTTGGGAGTCAGGATGGAGTTCTCGCCGATGACATTGGATAGTGGTCGTGCTAAAGTCAATTTCCAAATAAGTGAAGTTGCCAACATGTTCAGTCACTTCACTCGCCAACTCTAAACTGGCAGTCTGTATTTTATCAGCGTCTTCATCTAGAAGGACAACCTCATCATTATCATACTTCAGGCTAACAACACTGTCCACTTGTAACAGACTAATTTCTTAAGTCGCTAAACTCGGTTGGCGTCACATCAGTTATCGCGTCTATGATGAAATTAAACAAAAATAGAGGCATTGGACATTTCTTATTGCCATCATTGTTTATTATTATTCGAGATGATAAATTTGCATTAGCTCATAAACCTGGGTGAGCTTGAGTACATGGCCTTAATGAGCATATCATATTCCCTCAGCACTCACCACCCAGATGTCGTTAAAGTACGTTTTGGTCGGTGGAGTCAAATGCCTCCTTCAAATCAAGAAATATGGCAAGTTTTGAACGGCTAAATTTGTTTCACAACACAAAAATTGCGGCAAATGTAAGTAGACAGATTACTGTAATAACTTGCATATTATTATGCTAGTTGGAGTTACCTTATTTAATGTATGCGACAGAGATGAAGGAGGATATGGAACAAGATGAGAGGCACGAAGAAGATATGACTTAAATAAATAACTTAGATTTAATTGAAATGTCCAGAACTTGTAGAAGATGAGATGGGTTAGTCATTGGTAATGTTTAAAGTAGTTTGCTGTCCACCGCACCCTTGCTGAAATTATATGATTTTGCAGGTACGAGTATTCTGAAAACTCCATTTTTATATTCCACTTTTACATTATTGTAAAGAGCAAGAAGAAACACTGGAAACGACTAAAAATTGATTCATTGACGATATTGTAGTATTCACCATGACACTACTGATCTCTGTTAAACGAATAGACGAATATTAGACGTTTTGAACAGATGAAAAGAAACGTCGAAATAAAAATGAATCCATGTTATTTTTCTCCAACTGTAAAACTCTTAGTGTACAATTAAGTATTATCAGATGGTTAAAGTTAATCAACAACATAGATTTCACAATTATAAGTCAATCACCAATAAAAAGACTCTTTTATACAATCATGCAGTCTGTCTCATTTCCCTTAAAAATCTAACCTTAGTCACTTAGTGCGAAAGTCAGATATTTAGGTTACAAGTGATTATTCAGGGAAAATTTGATCGTCTTTGCCTTTATACTGTCAAGTGTTAACCAGTTTATTTACCTAATATTCAATGCACTGGTTCAGATCTGTCAATTAACTAACTAAGTTAAATAATGTGGTACACTGTAGTGGAAATCTATTTTACTATTAAAGGTTTTCAACTACTAGACAATCAGAAAAACTGTGAGCGAAAACTAATGCTTTCAATCAGGCCTGTTTAGTGATTACACGATGAATGCTGAGTGAAACTCAGTCGTGGTGATCTGTCAAAACGACGATAAGATTCCTGAACATCAATGCTTGAAAATTGATTTAATCCTTGCCACTGACTGACTACAGGATGAAGCTGTCTAGAATTACGATGAGAACTTGTAACTACTGGGGCATATCCAGCCGGGTTTGAGGACAAATACTTGCGGATGACACCAGCCGGCAGTTGAGGTATACATTGAGAATCATAAGAAGTTAGAATTCATGAGATCCATAATAATTTACCTATTAGATATATCATACAGTGAAATAGTATTATTTACCAGATGACATTTGTGATACAGTTTATTGTTCGCAATCATATCAATTATGAGGCATTGGGGTCCGTCCTAGATGATGATCAGCTAATAAACTGAGCTGGAAGCCTAAAGGTTCTTCATTCAATTGCCCATGGGTCACAACCTAGTGGGAAACAACTGTCCAGTATCCCCTGGTTTCCAATGGTTCTCTAACTAATTTCATTTCGTGCTCTTACCTGGAAGATACCAATAAATTCTTCATTTAGCCACATTAATAAGAGTTTTAACAATCTAGAAATATATGATGAGGAAATAGTTAAGGCAGACAGTCAATAAAATAAATTGAGTTTCATTGAAGACTGAGGAAAAGTCGTTGTTATGAAGAGTAATAAAAACACGGATGGAGGAATATAATTATGTCTTTCCTCGTCATCAGTTGGGAAACAATAGTTGTACAAACTTTTCTGAACGCGTAGTTTAGGATTATTTGTCCGAATGTCAATAGCCTCAGGTATGAATAGCAAACAAATATGATAATTCTTGGAAAGATTCTATAGAAATGCAGGGAATCAATCACCTTAAATGTTTTCTTCATGTTCACTGAGTTATAGTTTTCAGTCAGATAGGAGAAAACAGAACTTCAGACAGTTATTTCTTCTCCCTCTTTCTAGCCATTATCGAAAATGTTCTGTCTAATTTTTCTAGCCGTACGCTCAATATAACTGTAACAACAGAAGACAAGGGCTCTCATCACATAACATTTTCCATAAGAATAGTTCAAGTGATAAATCTAGAAGGACGCAACAAACTGCTTTTTTTTTCCTTCACGTTCCCCAATGGAACATAGGGCTTCAAGCTTGTGGCTTGAAGTTTCTGTAGCAGTGTTCATTTTACGGGATGGGGTTGCTAGCCTCATGCCCAACCTTTCCTCTTCATCAGCATTATTTCTGGCTCAGCGAGGTAAAGGAGTGCGTCGGCCGGGGATTGAACCCCGGACCATATGCATGGTCGGCGAGCGTCCTAACCGCTATGCCACCGACGCACAACAAACTGCTTAGTTTATTGATATTCAGATCAGACTGCGGAAGTAGTTCAAGATAATTTATAAATCTTCTATTCTACTTAATTATCTCCTAAAGTACTACCCGGCATTAAAAATAGTCAGGTCCAGTAATCATCTCTTAATATTGAAAAGTGGTCTTTCATATTGAGATCAACTTACCCAGGCATTAATCTTGGATGTATATATGTGGCATGATGTGTTGATTTTACATTTGCTGGTAATGGATAAGTGTGATTATGATTCATTTTCAGAAAATAATAATAATTTAAAAGCCGACAGTAACTATTACCAGCTAGATTAAATCTCTAGACTTGTTCACGTTTCTAATACTGAAAAGAAAATAGAAATTTAAAATTACTTTCTAATGAAGATTATTCTTATTGAAGAAAATGAAAGAAGATAATTCCGCTTAAAGGTTCAAAACTGAAGCAACACAATAGATACATGATCCAAATTTGCACGTATCTACATCTAATTTGACAGAATTATTGAAGCACACTTTACGAACGTCAGCTTAAGAACTAACGGAAATTCATTGTCAAAATAAATGAAGATATTCGAAGCTCTTTTGATTTTGGTAGAAGTTGGATACATCAAACCCACCGTACATCTGTTCAGTGCACAGAAACCGATAGTATTGATGTTATGAGTGTTCCATAACAATTTTACAGCCAAATCTCACTGAATCATAGCGAATTCATGCAGTGTAATTGCATAAACTTTAGAAAACCAAAACGCGAATTTTCGTCACCCAGCTAGCAATGATTTCGGGCGCAACGCAGAATGTTTGGGGCAGGCTTTGCGCGCGTTGCAGAATGAAGGAGGCACTTGCAGGAACGTCACTGGCTAGAAATCAACTAATTGGAGTAACCCATATCTACTTCTCAGCCAATGACAGCTAACTTTGCTTAATTGCATTGCAATGAATTTGGATTAGTCAATGGTAATACATAAATTTAAACAATAGGCTTTTCTATATAAGTAATCAATGAAATATACTGTTTACTATCTGAATGCATCCTGATAGGCCTTTTCATCAGAAGTCTTACTGGACTGGAATCCGTGTTGGAAAAGAGGGGGTAGAATTCACAGTTCATATTTCCACTGCAGTAAGCTACGTGCTGCCCGACCTCTTTGTTTACGAAGTTTTCTAAGTCATTCACTAAATACTTCTATGTTTTATATTAGAACTATTAAAGTACTGCCCATTTTAAATATCATGCATAGCGTGTATGTTGTGTAGACTGCAAGAATCTGTTTGTTGACATTTTTTTCGAATTTTTCCAGCTAACATGAGTTTTAACGGTTCTTCATCCAGCCGGACTAATCCAATAAACGACCTTATTGACAGCAGATCACCAAATAATGTCGAACCATACCGCCGCAAGAACTTGAAACTACGTAAGTTTATTTATCATTTATCTGTTACGATGCAGCGGAAGCTAATTTTGACCTAAGAAGACATAAGTCAAAAAATAACTCAAAAAATACAATCTGGAGTGGAAGAAGCATTTAGAAGGTCAGCTTGTTGTTTCATATTAATGTACTCAGAATCATATGCAAATCATGTGCACTCCCCAAAACATTGTCGTTCCAGTTGATGTTTCTTGTAATAGCATAGCATCTCCACCGTTAGTGGAGGAACATTTTCCAATCGAAGAATTGTCTGCAACTGAGAAAGCCGACCGGAGCGAGTGCACTTCACTGGATGCTATTCGCAACATATTCTAAAGATGCAAGTTAGATATGGCTAATACACGTATTTTGCTGGAAGAATTAAATTCCCTGCATCTTGCCCCTCGGACAATAATGAGGACTAAAGACGTTTTTCAAAGGAGAGCAGTTGTTCCCGGGATATATGTTCACACTGGCCTCCGTCGTCAGATTCTGTCTCGGTTACAAATCATCAAATATGAAGTCTCTGTAACTAATAGATCTGCAGCTGAACATTAATGGTGCTCCCACTTCCAACAAATCCAAATCAAAGATGTGGTCTATACAAGGGAAGTTTCTGTTATCTGGCTGTGAAAAGGTATTCTTGGTAGGCGCCTACTGTGGTTCATGTAAACCTTTAATTATATACTTTTTGAGGGACACTGTTGTCGAATTAGAATGCATTAGTGCTAATGGTATCTTATTACCCAACAGCCATTGCACTGACATTGTACCTAAGGACGTCACCTGTGACACACCAGCAACGGCACTAGTAAAGCAAACAAGCGGTCACAATTCAACCCAAAGATGCGATAAATACGAGGCTATATGCCGTCGTGCAAATAATGGCATGGTGTGTCCTACTTCATGCGCTGCTTTAAGAGCAGACACCACTTTTTGCAGGCAAACGTTGCAATGTCACCATAAGAGTAAATCTACTTTCGAGAAATCGCATGTAGACATGATTACCGTTTTTCCTCTAGATAGCATGCACCTCATATATATAGGTTTATTTTGAAAATTGATTGGCCTGTGGAAAGTGATGTTCAACTCTCGACTATTTAGCTCATATAAGTTGTCTTCATCTAAGGTTGACCGTTGGAAAGCAAAACAGTGACGGCTAATTCTTTTATATTTAGGAATTGTATACTTGAAAGACGCATTACCACCTAGCTTTTATGAAAAAATTTTCCATTTATTCCTGGCCTGTTACATCTTAAGTCATCCAACTTATTCTCCGTATTACCTAGATGACGTAAAAAATTTATTCATTAAATTCATAGAGAATCTTAGGTCATTATTTGGGGAGGATAACATGGTGTACAATGTCCATGGATTACTGCATGTGTGTGAGGACGTACGACAGCACAGACCACTAGACACTTCCTCATGCTTCCCATTTGAGTCTAACAAATGTTTTCTGCAAACTCTAGTCAAATGTCCCAATAACCCAGTAGTCCAAATAGGTGGGCGTCTAAGAAAAATATGGTTAGTGGAAGCTGACTCGACCAAAATGGTGATTACTATTAATGCATCTGTAAATGTGTCTAAGCGGACTGCTACTTTTTCCAGTCTTAAAATAAGGTCATTTCCTCCTGACAATTCGCGGGCAATGCACAAAGAATTATTTCTGAAATCATTTAAAAAAATCAGTTTCGATTTCGTGCATATAAGAAACCCAAGACTTTTTTCTAGGGATATTGGATTATATCAGGTCGACAACTTAGAGGGTGGGACAAGTATTCACACTTTCAGTGAAATTCGGGCAAAGTGCATTAGCTTAAGTCTTTTGCACAACTCCGTTGTAATTTCCATATTGCAAACCTCTCAATTGTTGTAACTTAGTGACTACTCATTAGTTTACATACAGCCACAGTTGACCGATACCAAGTATTAATGGTAAGTTTACTTTCGTATTCACTTGTCTCAATTATAATACTAACACATTTTCGTATCAATATTCGTCTTGCAAGACATCCCTTCTGCTTATGTCCCTATTTTTGTGTCTATGTATTTTCATGCATGTTCCTCTATGTCTGATATTTAATCAGGAGTAATTAACCTGCTGTTAAACAGACTAAGCTAATAATCATTGAGAGCACACGAAAGCTAATAGGAAAACTGTACTTCGCTGAGAATAAATAACATCCCTGTGTAAACCCAGCTAGCATGAACTCCGATCGATTGCATCGTCGTGTCGATCGAGAAGTGTTAAAAATAAAAAACAGATATAATTAGTGTAATAAAGAGAAGGTGCGATATTAAATAACCTTATGGAAATTTAGAGACCTTTTTTGTCTGGAGAAAAATGTCCATCTTAATTCATTTCCTAAGGAAGATGATCAGAAGGGGGAAATGATGAAACACACATAAGAAACGAATGTAACAAAGAAATATTGAAAATGGTTGAAGGGATAGTGGGGACTTTTTATTCTCCAATACTAAGTGGTAAAAGTCTAGCTTACGTTATTCAAAAAGAGGTCAGTCACTTCAAATTGTCGCCATTGGTTTCTATGACAATTGCGCATTCCAATATCCAATATCGTTTTTACGAGCTAGTATTAACCAATTTGATTTCTTTGTGCTCGCCTCTTGATTGTGAGGTAGAGGTTCCTGATCTTCGGTAAACGTCTGTGTAGCTCGTCCCGTCACTCGACTGTCGTAGCTTTGGTTGACTCCAACAGTAGTGCTGGGGTTAATTATATGGGGTTTGTAGTATGAAGTGTGTTAAGACTGTTACTACTGTGAATGGAGTTGATCCTTTCACCAGTTAGTCCTTCGGTATCGTTGTCAATGGAAAAGAGATAATAATCATAATAATAATAATAATAGATATAATTAGTAAAGGTATTCAGACTAACAGACAGAGAAAGAATAAGAAAACGTAACAACAGTCAGTCAACTGGTATACACATATATACATATATATATACCAGTAATAATGTTAATAATAATAATAATAGGTGTAGTTAAAGCTGTCAGGAGAGTAAGACTGAAGGGAATGTGAAGAAGTAAAACGACCAGTTTAATTGTCTACCTTTGAATGGTATATGCGATTTTAAGGGGATAGGCCATTTGGATGCAGATTCAGATTATAAGGATAGAAAGCTCTTGTTGCCTATGTTGATCCTCGCGATATATATCCGATGTACAATGTCATCCTTGCTAGCTGGTGCAAACCACATTGACTTTTTGCTTGGTCTTTGTTTGCTGAGTAAAGGTTCCTGTTCTTTGGTTAACTTATATGTAGTTTGTGTCGCCATTTGACTGTCGTTAAAAGCATCCCTGCTGTGGATGCAGTTGATCCTTTTATTCGCTAGTCTTCCAGTTTAGCCGGAAACAGAAGTGATAATAATTTGAAAATACACTGGAAATGAATAGGCTTAAAATTTCTGCACTGTATTTTCACTTTTTCTGAAATATATATATACATAGGAGTGCCAATTGGCACGAAACCTAGGTCCAAGGCTTCCTGCCGATTGCCTCCAACCATCTAATATCATCACAAACAATGTACACCGTGATGGCGAGCTACCTAGAATGGTGGCCACATTACAACCTGACTGATAGAATTCAGTCTGCACCAAAGAGAGGACTAGACGCATCACACTAGTTACTAGTGTCAAATCAAAACAATTTCCAGTACTTTCGCTACTACTGGGAGTAGGGCTGCTGGCCCATAGCTAGTTGCATTTTTCCTATTCCCGCTCTTGAAGATCGGAGAAAGAATGTCTCTTTTTCACTCCCTTGACAGTTTCCCCGAATCCGTCGAGTGTTGGAACAAGTCGCATAAGGGCCTACAGAGAGCTTCGGTGCACTGTTTCAGAACAGATGGTCTGATGTCGTCACAACCTGGGGACTTCCCAGGTGTGACTCTCTGCAGCTTCCCTATTACTACTGCCGCGTTTATTCGTGGAGTAGCCACTAGGTTTTCCTCCGGTGAAATAGTGCCGCCATTTCGGACCGTACCCATAATAACCACACTGCTGTTTAACTGTTTGGCGGAGGTCAAACTAAATTTTTCAGCCATCTCCAGTCTACTGAGGTATTGACCGTTTGAACCTACTGAGGCGCATGCCCTCTGGTTGGTTGGTTTCCTTTCCGACATCAATCGGTACATGCCTCTGTGGTTTTCCAGGAGATTCTTCACAAATTTATCCCGTAATGACCTCCTGGCTGGCTCATCCGTTGCACCGGTTCTTGAGTTCCAGGAATGCGCCGTGGTCGGTCTGAATCTTGGATACTCTCCACGTAAACCAAGCCCTCCGCTTTGCTTGCAGAATACGTTGCGTACCTTTATTCAGCGACGATAACGCTTTTATATGCTATGGCAAAAGGGACGGTGTGCGAGATTGCTATGTGAATAATATCTTTTACTACTCCCCAATGTGCATTCACAGATAACTCATTCCATGCTAAGGGCCAATCTTCGTCGAACAAAAGCCTCTGTATTTCAGTAGAGTCTGCCTCGTAATAACACATACATGGTCGCGTAGCGTCCCATTGAAATTGCTCACGGAGAAGAAGATCAAACCTTATGACTGCGTGGTCACTTCTTCCCAGTGACTTAGACATTTTCGACAATTAGTTGGTCACCAATTAGAATATAGTCTGGTTTCGATGAACTTCCACTGGGGCCTCACCAAGTGTCGTCTCCGACATTCTCAAACAGTCCTGTATTTTGAATGATTTGCGGTAGATTTCGACCGAATTTTCCCTGAGCATACCCCAAGCCAATGTTCAGGAATGGGGCATTGAAATCTCCAGCTACGCTGATTTGGTCATAGCTCAAGTCCCGTATTCCTGTGGTGATGCTGAGCAGTAGCTGGTTGTTCTCTTTCCTGCAACTGGGTGACCGGTAGATGCCACCCAGTAGGTGTTTGGTGTGACCTACAGTGAAATGACACCATATGGAGTGTGGGATTTCAATAAGTGGTGGGTCCATTGCACGTACGCATTTAAGTTTCCTGTCAAAGTATATGGCAACTCCCCCTTCCTTGTTATCCATTTCTCTCCTGAACATAACTATGTCACTTATACTGATCTCGTTGTCGATGATGGTGCGGGTTGGTCAAGTTTCAATCAAGTTCGTTTTTCTAATGTGAAAATGTGACTAAAAAGGCATCTGACAGTCAGTTTCAGAACCTCAGCTTGTTGTGGGGTAGTTGACGTTACATTGTCTACTGGCATGGGACTTACTATTAGGAGTAGTTGGCCGATGCTGATGGAAAAACTTCGACTGCCAAGAGATGAATCAGACCACGTGCTCAACTTTGGCATCGTTCGTCCATTGATCAGCTCATGGGCAAGCTCACTCTATATGATACTAGAACAAGATAAGAACGATTAGCGACCCACTGGTGATTATCGGCCAATGAACGCCAAAACTGCCGCCGATTGCAGTCCATTGTCTCACACACATTACTTAACTGAAACACTATCTGGTACAAATATTTTTTCGAGAACAGACTTGGTTAGAGCATACTACTGAATAGTAATGGCACCAGATAACATTCAGAAAGCGGCTATCATCACGCTATTTAAACTGTGCGAATTTCTACACATGCCATTCAGTCTTCAGAATGCAGCACTAACATCACAACGCTTCACTGACGAAGTATTTTGTGGTCCCAACTTTGTATACGCATACTCAGTCGACTGCTTCATTGCCAGTCCATACAAGGAAAGTCACTCTAAACACTTGAACTTGGCATTCAAAACGTTGTGCAAACACTGTGTTACCATTAGTATTCAAAAGTGTCATGTTAGAGCATGGTCACTCGACTTTCTTGGCCACACCATTGACCGCAAGGTTATCCACCCATCGACCAGTATTTCATGCCGATTTTAAATTTTACGAAGCCAAATACGGTGAAAAATCTTCGCACTTTTAATGGCCTAGTTAGTTATTACCGACTCTTTCTCCCAAAATATACCACCTTGACTCGGCCACCAGAGGACCAACTTCGTTGGGATAATAAGCTCATTGAACTCAACGCGTGCACTAAAAACTCTTTCATTCAGTTTAGAAAAAGCCTTCGCGGATGCCATCCTGCTTATTTACCAAGATCCAGCAGCACCATTAAGTATCTCAGTTGATTCATAGGACACTGCAGTCGGAGCAGCCCTACAACAACTTGTCAGCCAAAAGCAGCAACCATTCACTTTTTTCTCCAGGCACCTACAATTTGCGAAAACAAAGTACAGAACATTCGGCAGAGAACTTCTGGATATATACCGGGCCATACGCCACTTCTGAGATTCATTGGAGTGTCGTGAATTCATAATTTTCACTGGCCACAAACCTTTAACGTTCTTTCTGAACTCAACTCTAAATGGGCATCCCCTGATGGAACAAGACAACCCGATTACGTTTCACGGTTTACATCAGATATGCTCCATGTACTCAGACTGAACAATACTGTGGCAGATGCTTTGTTGCGCAGTTGTGCCCTCTTTTAGATAGGTGACATAAGCCTTTTGCGTCGGTGGCACGCTCGACGACCATGCAAATGGTTCGGCATTCGATCCCCCTCTGACGCACACCTGATATCAATTGGTCGGCCAGCAAAATTCGGGCTACTGATATCACATGCTGAAAATTCCATACTTGCATCAAAAATAGTGTAGAATTGAGCTATAATAGAAAACTGGCTCATCATCTTTAGGAAGATAACGAGCCTCAACATGAGTTGTCGAAAACAACTCTGCAATTAGCCGAGAAACCCTGAGGCATAGGAAGAGACACCATTCCATGTGACATGGCGGCGAGTATGGTGGAACCATTATCCTGACAACTGAAGGCTGCGTTATCAGTCGCGATCACTGCACATTGGACTGAATCACTGCTACTGGTATCCAAGGATACGGAATGCCTTGAAAACTGATATTGGCTTTAATAATGCTGAGGTGGTATCTGACACAAAATTAACGTGGCCAGGTGAGTTTGTTTCTCCGTCCAGCTGGATCACACGTCAGCAGCCTCATAAACAAAGCACGTTCATTTAAACCAGTCCCACTCCGATGGCAGCCCATTGGTGCCGGTGTTCCTCCAAGTTTGAGAATTTCTTAACGTGTATTCACTCGTTGTGATTCTGTGCAACGCTCACTGGCAGTGTAAAGTGATCAACGTAAGGAAAAGTTCATGGAGTCAGAAGGAAAAGCTACAAAGAATCTGCCAGCATCTCGAATGTCAAGGGATCCACCACTAAAAATTAAAATTGTACTCTATATTTCATGTTGCATTTTATGTTGATTAGACCATTTGTACTTCACTCGAAAGCTGCACACACTTTTAAGCTTCCTAGCTGGTAGTATCGGACCTAAGTGAAAAGAGTGTATGGGTACTCCGGCTTGTGCGATGGCTTCTGCCTACTAGAGATGGCGCAGTTAGACAAGTGAAGGTGAGGACGGATAAGACAGCATTGGTAAAGGATATCAGGAAGGTGTGCCTCCTGGAAGCCGGTAACAATAGATCTCGTCAGGGCGACGACCAGGTATGCTGGTGACAGTCCTATACACCCAAAATAAGTGGCTAGATTAAGGAATTGCCAGACCGACTGGTGTAGATCCTGGGAAATAAGAGCAATGTGTATTAGTAAGTTGTATGTCACCGTGTGTCTTCCGCACGAATTATTTGCGTAGGTATAGGAAGTGCACGCGAAATCATAGTGAAAATATTGTATTTGTCGAGAGTTAAATGTGTGATAGTGTTGACTAATCGCTTACCCGGATGAGAAAATATTGCTGTAAATATTATTTCATTTATTGTTTGAAGAGGAAACCAACATTATTTTGGCGGAGAGTGTTATGCCTAATATTCCACCTCCAAACACTAAAGCTACACTTTATATGACAGTTTGCATTTTGTGTTGATTAGAGCGTTTGCGCTTCACTGGACTGTTGAACATTTATTGTTTGAATTTACATTTGTTAATTGCGAACTGATTTCGGGTTCAACTGCCATACTCTGTGTTCAATTGTTGGTTTACGGGGATTTGCTTTTGCTCCTAACATCTACAAGCCTGCTCAGTTTCTTGTCAAGACGTTACCCCATGGGCATACACAAGTTCGCCAGACATTTTACAGGTCACCATATCCAACAGGTTCTAAACTCTCAAGCCACTTCTCTCTGAAATGTCACTTATATAATTCACGACAATCCTTCTATCTAATTACTATTGTACTCCATTTTATCTCAACTCCCTAGGCCTTTAATAAAGCTGAAACTTACTCTTTTCATTCATACTCTTCACTCGCATATAGTTCGGTTGGTCTGATGGTGAAAAAAACATAACAACAATAGCGGTGTTTGAGAATAACTATATTTTCATCGAAAACGTCATGATTTTCCATGGTAAGACCAATATGGTTAGCATTATCCATTGCAAATGCGTACTATCATTTCAAGTTCTATGTAGCTTCTTCTATTAATCTTGTAAATATACTTCCAATAACGTTTTATTCATAATTACATTTTGCACCATTTTGCAGCTGCGCATGACTTTTGTCTCCTCGTGAAATAGCTTTCAGGCACGTGGGGGCATAGCACTCACTCTAATATATGTTGTTTATCGATTGGCCATAACTATCATCAGGAGATGGAACGAAGTTTAATTGTCGCTCAACTTCGATGGTGACCTTCATGAAGCGTTTATAATTTAACATTTATAAGAATCTGTTCCGATTGCTTGCACTATAATTCAACAATCTGAACTTTCGAAAAAGTGATCATCTATCCTAATTCACAATTGTAATTTATAACACAACTGATCGTGCCTGTAGAAATGGCATGTAAGCTTGCCCATTTATAAGAAATATATTATTATTAAATGGGGAGTGTGAGTGCGTCTAACTGCCTGCACACGAAGTGTACTGCTTACGCCCTCGAAACGTCTCTTGGATAATCCACACTTCTATTTAGTTTTTCGATGAGGACGAGAACTGAGTTGCGCTGTGAATTTGCAGTGGATAAGATGCCATTCCTCTCTGCGTCATTTGGATGCGTAAATGAATAATTTATAATTTTCACGGCATTTGTTTGGTTTACACACAGTCTTCCAGAGATTTTGAGTTAACCTACAACTTGTAGTGGTTACCCAATTAGTTAATTACAATATAAATCCTGACATTACCAGCAAAAGAGTGGTCAAACAGTACATGTAACATGGCAAGTCACTGACAAAACTCAGAAATATCAGTGGCTATTTAATTCAAACCGAAAGGTGGTGACGAACGCTTCCGCAAGATCAAGGAATATTACACAGACTGGAACACTCATCCTAGCATCATATCTAGTCATTCGGTGATAGGAATGGATTCATTGTAAGAGATTTGCCTTACCTGGAGTCAGATTGTGCCTTGTGGTGTTCAATTACCTCGCCAAGACAGCCAAACAAGTTTTCTAATGCCCTTGATACCACTGCTACAGATAAACTTTTTATTCCGTTTGTCGAACGACACATTGAAAATTGAAGAAAAATAGAGCTCTCCTTCTCCGGTTTCTGTAAGTAGATAGAGCATTGTAATTGGTCACATTGTGGTCCGTAGACAGCTCCTGCACACTGTCTCAAAATCTATGATAAAATATCATCCTTGTCACAGGACTTCCCTAGGCTGAATTCAGGTGCTTGACTGGGATCAGTGTACGGATAAACTCTATGCTTTCTATAGTTCCTGGCTGTGGAGAAGGAATATTTGGGTGGATTCATTTATCCATGCATTAACGTCAGAGTTGATAGTATGCACAGGTGATTTACATGCGTTTTGGCTAATCACGTCTTAGATACTGATATGATATGTCACCAAAGATTTTTTGATTCTTTTTTTGATTACAGATTGATTCCACACCGTATTTTTCCGTACAGGTATGGAATTTTTAGCATGTGATATCGGTAGCCCAAATTTTGCAGGCCGACCATAGATTTCAGGTGTGTGTCGGTAGGGAGTCGAACCCCGGACCATGTGCGTGGTCGGTGAGAGTTCTTACCACTGTGCCACCGACACACAATATCACTACCAAAAGTTGCACAATTTTATTCTTACACATGTGCCAACACGGTAAGAACAGCTAATAATTCAACAAAACAACAAAAAATACTGAAGTACATAATGATTTTTCACATCGTTTGATAGTCTGAGATTTTGTATACAAACCGTTGATGGAGAAGAAGCGGAATCACACAGGGACAAAAGAGGAGTGGCATCATACTTAAAGTAATCTTTAATATAGACATGTGTGGATGGAGTATTTTTAAAAGCGAAGATAAAAATATGGGTAAAAATGAAAACTTAGCAACCAGGCACGAATATGTACATTATTAATGAACTGATTGGACTGGTTTCTTTTGAACACATATCTTCGGCTTGTCGATGTATATAGAGATGGCTTCTAGAGCATAAAGAATTTGGAAACAAACTGCCTCTGGCGAGTTTTCGTCCACTTTTCAAATGACTCTGAATGAAGTATCAGAGGAGATGCTGTGACAGGGTTTATATGGAGTTCGACTTAAGTGCTCCTGATTGAATCAGTGAAACTATTTTCCTATCCTATGGAATTTCATTTCTGTACTCTTCGTCGCCCATACGAACCCCTTCAAATTATAATATCAGGTTCAAACTAAATATGTTCTTTAAACTCTTTTTATTGCTGTGTTGAAGTAAATAATGACTTTAATTGCGTGAACTTATGTATAGAAACTGCTTAATACGAAATCGTCAAAAACAGATCTTCGTTCATATTCTTATTTCTCTTCCTATAAAAGGATTCATATCGGCTCCTAACATGCACAGAACTATGCCAAAATGTCATGTAAGAATTTGAATTTAGACGAAATTTCACAAACAATCTATCCATTTTATTCATTTGAGTTCCAAGTGCGACTTAAAGCTTGGGCAGCACAGTGCATTATATGGTGTATGTGCTTTTTGAAATGGCACCACCGCTATCCGGTGGGGCATTACAGTAATAAGGATAAAATTCACCACCGTGACTCCATAGAAATTTAGCAACATACGTCCAACCTTTGAACTTACTACCTCCATCTACTGCATTACCGTAAGCAGATATCAGTATCAAGCAACATTTCCTGATAAAAGTTTAGCAAATGTAACGCAGTTCAAAAATTTAATTTCATTGACGAAATGTACTCCAGAATATTTTTAAAATCAAGATTGCGTTTAAAAAGCATGCCACAAAGAAATCTTGTCCGTAAACCACCACAACAATGAACCACGATGCCACAGTTAGCTGGGATATGCAATAAGGCCAATCGAGTAGCACGTATCTAAACAACTCTGATCTCTGCATTCTATTTTGGCTGGCACCAAGATCGTGCCTTAGCTTTCATTTCTCCCCCATGCAATCTCTTCCATATCACCTTCAGATACGCTATTCGTTGTTTCTCGCACTTGAATTCCTTCCTCAGTTCTTCCACCAATTTGTTGGTTTTCGCCTGTAAGTCTTCGATGTTTTGTAATGTTAAACACAAAACCCGTTCTGACCTATGTCCCTATCTCATGATCCAGTGAACCATGAAGACAAATAGCACATGTATTAATGTGTATTTTTACTAATAGTTATTTCCGTTCACATTGTTTCCAGAAGCTAATTCAACAATAAAATCGCGAACTTATTATGAAGAAATTTGATGACAACTTGCCATGTACCAGCAGTGTCAGCTATCTCGGACAAACTGTTAAAAAGCAGTGAATGAACAAAATGACCTTGATATCCTAGAAGCATAACTACCGCGCAATTGAGAAATGATATCTTCAGATGGTTTGATTGTCGAAAGCAACAAAATAGCAAGCTTTGATAGCTATTATGAACTCAACAGAAGTATCGGAAGGTAAATATGATAGGTTACTAAATATTTTCAGAAAGAAAGCCTTTGCAACCTTAGTAGGCTGTTTCATATATTTATAAATAAAAACCTTGCAGTGGGAGTGGTTCGTATGTTGCCATTTGCATTGAGCGTGGTTCTAAAATGTGTTATGCAGCTAAAGTGATGCAGAAAAAGGTTACGTAAATGGAAAAATGTTATCAGTTATAAATAATTAATTATAGGTTATTTCCATAGAACGCAAGAGAAATATAGGTCAGCTGCTGAAATTAGACCACAAAAACTTGGTAAGCATTTAGCGAACAAAACAAAATTTCCAGGTGAGACTGAAAGAGGTTTTTGAAACTCCGAATTCATTGTACTTGGTCATTGAACTCGCTGATGGAGGGGAACTTTTCCAAAGGTTAGTGTGATGGGGCTATAAAACTTAGTAGAACTATTATTTATGTTAAGTATTTGAGTGAAATTTTCAGCTTCTTCTTCAGATTAGAAATGTCACACACTGCATCCCTAGGGATGAACTTAACAATATTTTACCGAAGACCGGGAACCTTTACCTGACAATCAATAAGCGATCACAAAGAAATCAAATTAGTTCATACTAGCTCGTAAAAACAATACTGGACATTGAAACCACCTAACTATAGTTAGTATTATAACACTGCATAATGAATTATTTTGGCAAAAAATCAGTTCGCGATATGCTCCTTATCCCATATATCTTTTGTGGGATAATTATGTTACAGCAGACAAATGAAACTTCATATCTATTTCCACTAATAAATTCACTTCTTCTATAAATACACACGCGCTTGTTTTCATCAACAAAATTTCTCGTCATGCATGGGAAGCCAACTACCATATCCACTTTGATATTGGCTGGCTGTGCCCACTTAGTTTTCTACTACAATCTTATCTAACGTATGTTTGTGATCACGTGCACTTAAACATATCCATGCAAAATGATGAAAATTTTGTGTATTTTTCCGATGAGTGGAAAAATAATGCCCCCATATACAAATTATGTTTATATATATATATATATAGCCTTTTTATACAGCATTTCACCCCCTCCCATTATTTATACATTAATGTCTATTCACGTGCATTTTTCAATATGATATCATGTTATTCCACTTGAGATAAATCTGCTTCGTATAATACACCATCATAAATTATTAGTAACTATATGACGTTCTCTGCGTATCTTCCTACTCACAAATGTATAATGTCTTCATTACCGCCGTTTAATATAGATAGCGTAGGAAATCATTAGTGTGTTTCTAAATTAACTTAGAACTCACCATGCCATCTAAAAATACCACTCTTCTCTGAAATCGATTTTGACAGTTTATGTATCTGAACTACCCAGGTGAACACGATATTCAGTTTACCGAATACAATATCTAATAGCAAGCCATACGAAATCGTCAGGTTTGGTATAACAATAAAGAGTAACAAATTAGCAGTCATAAAAGGAAGTCTAGAAAAATCTCAGCTGCTGCTGTGCGCACCCTAGCAAACAGTCGTACAATAGGATGAGATGGGGCTAAAACACCAAAAAGCGATGTAGTTAGATGGCTAGACAGACACTAGCTATGCATAATGCATATAACTCACAGAGTGCATCGCAAATCAAGAAGTTTTTTAAAGATTCGCTCAAGGAAAAAAGCATCTAAAAACTGCACAAATCAAGTTGCGACGCCCTGTAAATTTATCACTATGTCAATAATAATAGTAAAGCTTTATTTCAGACAAAATGTGAACTTATATTACAGAAAGTTTTCAGCGCATTTAGCTCCAAAATATGTCCTCTTCATACGCAATTTACATCTAAAGGAATAATCTGAAGTACATCATCTGTCATAATATTGCTGCATATGAGGAGAAAACCATTTCTGTTCAGTTCCTTCAAAAATCCCATATCATATAGTGAGAAACCAATTAAATATGCGCGCAAGTTCACGTATCAGTCACTTGATACAATGGTACTATTATAAAACAGGAAGTGCAGAAGATTTTAAGCATTTTAACAGATGGAAACTCTGATAGCCCAGTGATTTACGCAGGCTGCCGGATTAAGGTTATGTTCGAAATTCTGTGCGGCCCCTAACACTTTACCACTGCATTTTATGTCAAATAAAATAAAGTTGTCGGATGGTTGAGATGTTTAAAAAAATATAAACATGAGAAAATAGAGGGCAATGAAATGACGTTATTTTTAGCAGCTGTTTTACCCGTAACACGTTTATTTGATCTTATGATAACTGGAACATAAAAGCAATGTATTCAATGATTAATTTCTTCTCTCTACGTCTGTTGATTTTGTATTATTTTTCCGAAATCCATTCAGACTAACTAAATTCCCCGTATACAATGAAAAAACAATACTAGTTTACTTCAGGCAAATGATAAACGGCATCAAATACTTACATGAATATGGAATTATTCACAGAAATTTAAAAGTACGTCTGAATACTCTTTGTTTGAATTTAAGTTTGGTTTTGAATCTTTTGTCCCCTAAATGCCACCTCTGACATTAGAATTTTAGAAAATTGAGGATTTCAAATAGATATAGAAGTCACTATTCATAAATAATTTTTCATATTATCCCGAAGTAGCCATTTGACATGAAAGGCACCCACTAGCAGTAGTTAGCAAACTTTACTAGAGTGATATACTGTGAGATATTTTAATAATAAATATTAGCAAAAAATCTAAACATTGAATCGTTGAATGAGTCCTGTCTTAAATAACTTTCAGTTATACTGATTAGATAAACTGACCAATACCGACTTCATTTTTTTAACTGCAATCACCTTAAATTTTTCGTTTGCTGGCTTCATAGGGCCAACAAGGTTGATATTTTTTAAGATGCCGGCTTTCTGTACTAACGCTTCAGTTATACTATAAGGCTAATTTGGCATTGTTCGGTTCCTGATAAGTAACAATGGAATTTACAAAGTGTATTTCATTCTAGTTGAGAGTTTTCGGCCGGATAGACTCGCACCTCACTGAGTAAATGTGTTCCCTTTGAGACTCAAACCAAGCATCCGTAGTTCTATAGTTTAAAATGTTACCTATTAGACTACTGATATCCATTGTATATGGGTTTTCTCTCGTGGCTCAGTAGCCTCGTTGAAATGATAGATGTTTGGTTTGATTCTTGGTAAGAGCACGCTCACTCAATAGGATTCAGCGGTATCTGGCTTAATAGTCCCAAACAGAATGAAACATAAGTCCTGGATTCTACCACTAAGGACTAGTACCAAAAATAAAATTGTCCGACTGAATTCCACCGATCATTAGCAAAATGTAAATACTGATCATAAAAAATACAATTTACTGTGATTTTATTTTCCTTGAATGTAGAATTTGATTTATTATGGTGCAAATTCTATGTCGATTCATAAATGAGCTAGAGTGTATTTCATCTAGCAGGCAATTACTCAAAATAGCGGCATAGTCAATCTTCAATCTACAGTTGATTCCCATCTTTCGTATTACTAAATGTGTGTGCTAATTTATGTGCATACGTTTCTAATACAATATGAAAATTGGTCTACACTAAAGTTAAAACAGAAACATTACCTATAGCTGTAGAAAATGGCGATCATTAAAAATAATATTCACTGTAGTGGAAAAACTTCTGTTGACAGAGAGTAATGTTGTCATAGCTAATTTTTATGTCTCTCCCATATTTCATGTCTCATCCTAACCTCTTAAATCACAGTTTCATCTTGACCTTTTTATTTCACTTTCTGCCTATTTCCCATATCTTGCTTAATAACTACGGGTGTAGACAGGCTCACACTTGAGAAAATACCCTCCATATTATGCTCTTCTATTGAAGTGACCATGATGGCGAAATTATACGGTGGTAGGCACGTAATAGATCAGCATGAATGTTAAATTATTTGCTAATATTAACCGATAAGTAGACTTGCGTGATTTTTAATAAAACATCGTATGAAAATGTTGAAGTAATTCTAATAAATGGTTTAGCAACCTTACTGAATGTTGATTTCTAATTACAAATGTCATCTGTGTATTTTTACGATAATTTTAGCCCGAAAATATACTGCTGAGTTCAAGAGAAAACGATGCCATCGTAAAAATTAGTAAGTATTGAATGACTTTAATGATTACTCATCAAATATTTTGAATGGACTTATATTCCCACATATTTAACCTATTTTTGATTCTTGATATTTATTCTGACTGCGTCTATGAATCCGACAGTATTACAGATCATTGAGTGGCTTAAAGCAGATTGAATTCTAAGCTATATAATCCCTACATTAACAGTTATAGTCTGTAAATTCTACATTCATTAAAAGTCACAAGTTTAGCTGCAAACAAGTTAGGTATGTTTGAGTCAGGAGTTAAGATACAGTCGATTTTTGAATCACCGTCCCTTGAACAGTCTGTTAATAAACTCTAGTAATAAAAGAGTTCAGCTGTGACTTGGTTAACTTAGTAGTTTAATCTCTAACTTCATGTATGAGTGACACAGCTTTCCGTAAATAGATGTGTGCCAGATTGAAAATAAACTTTTCTGTTACCCTTTTATTCACAAAAAATGCAGGTCAAGAAGGAATCTCCTTAGACAATCTCTTGATATTCAACACGAAACTACCGTGGAAGACATAGTGCTGTAACTAATTTCAGTCATCACGTCACAAGTTAAACTGACCAACAACGGTCAGCAGTAAAGATTTGATTGCTACATAGATAAGATTACGACTCAGTGAAAAATGAATACATGAACAGTTGTAATGTCAATATTTGAATAAAAACAGTACTTCTCAGTTTTATTGTAAAACAACTGAAATCTTAAATTGTTTTAGTGCTAAGCTTCCCTGTCGGTAATCATCTAAAACATAATGTCATGCGATGAATACCTCTTAGGTGAAATACATATGGCCACTATTCATGTAGTAAAGTCTCCCAGTATTAATTTATCTGCTATATGATGTGCCTACACGTTTAACTTGATGTTGAAGTGTGTTGTCGAACTCTCTGACATACACACACATGCGCGCACTCACAGTTACCTTTCTTGATCTTAGAACTCTAGATTTCTTATAGGAGGAAATTCAATTAGTTTATTTTATTACGAATTCATCTCAGAAGATTGAAAGAAATCTCTAACTTTTTAGGGTGATTTTTTAGACTTCAAAGCTAAAAGAAAACAGATTACAATGAAGCATTAACTGGCAAATTAGTATAATATGGATTACGTCATGCAACTAATGAATACATCTTTAAATCTGGAAATTGACAAAAATATTCACCAATAAATCTATACAGCTGTAATATTATGCAAAATATCAGGTTTAAAATATTTGCCACAGGATATATGTATATATACCTTTTGGGAATAGCCTTCATAGAAATTTAAAATGTCAACATTCGATGACTATTCAACACTTTTTTCTAGTAATTACAGATTCGGAAAATTACTGTTATTCATTCTCTGCGTTTCTATTTGATCAGATGAATTCTATAGCACATCTTCATTTCATTTGCCTATCTCCTCCATGTCTGCTGACACGTTTTAGTATTCCTCCCTTATGATCTTCTCTATGTCACCCTCAGACTTTCAACTCGTCTGTTCCCATTCGGGCTCCATTCATAGGCATAGCGCATGATATCACTCAGCCGTCTTCTCAGAGGGTGTTTTATCTACCTCTATTTTTTCGGTATTCTTGTTGGGAGATAGGTTCTTAACTGATTTATTATCAGATTCCTTTGTTGCTCATCCTTTTTGACCGCCCATCTGATCTGTAGAGGCCATGAATGACTGAGTGACTGGTTTCAACGTAGAACTTTGCATTGATGGGCGGCAATTCGAGTTGTCACATTCCATATAGCACATAAAGCAAGCGAAGAGAGTATACACAGATAATAAACACAAGTGTGAGGGAAACAGAAAAGCATTGAGGAGGAACAATAGAGTTTTATTGGATATGATAAATCATAAAGAGTGAATATATCTGCGCCAGCCATTGAGAATAACGATTTTGAGCCATTTCTCCGATTACCTCCGGCCTTTATTGGTTCTTGAATTCCCGAGGACCCCAACCAGGTAGTCAGGCAGTCTACACCTGCCTACGTAGCTGGTTGGCTTAAACTAACTGTTGTGGATTTCATTGACTGATTTGTTCTGACCACCACTAGCTTTTTTCCAACCTGATCCTATGCCAGTCAGCTGACATCGCTCGTCGAGGAAGGCGATGGCTAGGGATGCATGCATAACACACGTCCTAACCATCTCTGTCAATCGATGCAGCTGCTTCACAACCTCATCGATTGATTTGCCCTCCCTACCTAGCACTCACTGGACACGTAATCTCATTATTGTTCACCATATTATACCGCCTAATACGAGAGATAGAATGCAGGCACCTGTGATCAAAGACAGTTAACCGGTGTTTTCATATCTTCCACTTTCAATCGCCATGTCTCAAAGTCATGAGCCATGAATGAGGACAATGCGAAATGCTGAGCAGTACACACTCCCTTTGATTAACAGCCAGTCGCATATCACGTATAATAAGCCAGAGATGGTGTAAGTCAGAGTATGCCAAACGAATCTTCTGTATCCATGCAGAGATTTCGTAAGCGATCAACCCGCTGGCATTGGCTGATGCAACTTACAAAGTAAATGAAGTGATCAACATGCTCCACCAATTCACTCCCTATCTTTAAGCTAGGAGTTTTAGAGGCTATACAAAGGATATCACTTATTAATGCAACTAGCATTATTATTAGTAGACTGATAATGATAGGATAGGTTTTCTTTTATTTCTAATTTTCAAAATTTTGAAGGTATCAGCCACTGTTAGCATGTTAACATTCGTAAATTTTATTTTACCCAAGGCTTTCTACCTTAGATTCAGTTAGTTCCACTTGAAACGTTTCAACGAGATACTGTAAATCACACCCAACACTGGGTAGCGCTGGCAATACGACTTAAATCGAACATTATTCTCCACGCAGTGTACACAACCTTTTTTTGATTTGATGGTTGTTTAGGTCTGTTATGTCTCGAAGCTTTTTGACGTTGGCCTTATTTACAAAATTCCGACAGTTACTTTCGTTATTTATTTAAGTAATAAGTGGTTGTTATAATTCAATTGCTTGATAGGCAGAATTCGAGACGATCGATACTATGTTTATATCCCAACGTATCTACTTAATTTAAATCATGAGTTTCAAATAATACGAACTTCACTGTCTCGCACACCGACGGCAGTTGAAATTTGTTAACAAACCAATTTAAAGTTATCACACTTAGACTAGTAAATCAACAATAGGGCGAACACACTATCCTAGTAGAGACAAATATAACCTTTAAAAAAGAGGACTATTATAATTCGATACCCCGGTAAGGTGATAAGCACTGACTTCTGTTCATTGGAGGATGTACTGACGTTGGTACACGTATGATCATATGATATAATTATGGTCAATAAATTGTGCTCTAAACGTCATCAGTGTTGCGTGGCCTCAGAGCCCAGGGGACAACTGCTTGGGGCCGGTCACACGCGGCCTGCTTTCGGTTGTTCTTTCTTGTTTGGTGTGTCTCAGTAGCATATTTATCACTTCTGCCCTGTGACACGGCAGCAGGAAGCGCGGTCGTTGTTAATCCGGGCCCCGACCTATCCGGCATGATATTTTGTGAGCTTTTTTGAATCATAGTATTGGATTGGGTAGCTGCTTTTTGTCTAACCGCTATCCAAACAACCTTTCTGGCATGGTAGGACCTACAGGAACATAAGTTCCAGCCAGTGTAGCTCGTTGGGTCATTGCGATATGCAAGCCCGACCACCACGTCAAGGTAGCAGCTATCGGTCGGGAGTATCTCAAACAAACTACAGACCTTCATTAACAGTTGTCTTCGCTCAATACTCATGATCAGATGGTCGGCCAGATAAGATCAGCAACAGGGATCTCTAGGAGCGAACCAACCAGGAACCGATTGTGCAACAAATAGGCAGGAAGAAATGGAGATGGATTGGCTATACTCTGAGGAAACCATCAAGTGACATCACTAGACAAGCCATTGCTCGAGTGGAACCCGAAAGAGAAGCGGCGAGTTGGTCGTCAGTGCAAGGGTGACTTGGAGGAGGTCATGTGAAGAGAAGATGAAAATGTGTGGGCAGACTTGGAGCCAGGTGAAGACTCTAGCAGAGAACCGAACGTAATGGAGACGCACGGCTGAAGCCCTATGTTCCTCTAGGAATTAAAGGAAACAATAATAATAATAATAATAATAAACGTCATCAGTAAATAATAGTGCATCGCCGTGTGACTCTAGAAAATAAATTTTACTCTATAATGAAATGATCATATGACATTATATATTGATTGAGGTACCTTTTATGGATGCCATTTCGAAACGCTATCCAACATCCATTTGATAGTGATGTATTCACTCAAATTTGCTTAGAGTACATTCTATATCCTCTGCTTGATTCTTCTTTTGTATCTATTCTAGCTGACTATTCACCTCAGCTGTTTACCACTGAAGATTTGGATATGGAATTGGTATGCTTTATGACAACATTCTGTCCACCTGAATTATTACTAAGTAGACGTTATGATAAGGCAGTTGATCTATGGGCTTTGGGTATACTACTTTATATCATGTGAGTAGCTTTCAAATATCTTGAGAAATATTCAAACATTTTAAATTAGTTTTAATAAGCGTACAATTTCAGTTTCGAGTCTTTATTATTTGATGAAAGCTGGGATAAATGCAAACAATAAGGATTCATATTGCTGTAAAAGTTATAACTATGAACCTTGAAGGTCAAGTACAACGAAGTCGAACTTTACTATTCTATAAGAGATCAATCGCCTCACGATTGCCTGGATGATAATTTCCTTTACCGTTTCAGTGAGTGGTGAGATTTCTGATATCTGAAGAAATGCGCTTTATACAGACGAGCTCAGACAGGCAAGAAATGTAAGCAAGGTAAAAGTTCCTATTTGTCCTGTGTTCAAACTAGCATCTATCGACAAATATTCCTATGTAAAGGTGAATCGTCTGAACTTGTGAATACATATCAGCATTCATTATTAAAATTCAGTCATTACTGTAACTCTAGATGCTATAAAACTGAAAGTCATTCTAATTTTTATACAAATTTCTTTAATTTTTACAAAGTTAAATTGAGTAAGGATAATACAGTATGAATCAGTTTCTTAACGTGGCTTTTTCTCAGCTATGGATATGACAATCTACCAACTAGAAGCAATACAGTTGACAGTGTCTTCCTAATGTTCCTGTTTACCATATAACTTCTAAAATACAAGGAAGAGAATAATTATGGAATATTTACTTCAGCATGTGATATCGGTAGTCCCACTTTGCAGGCCGACCATTCATATCAGGTGTGCGTCGGCAGGGGATCGAACCCCGGACCATGTGCATGGTCGGCAAGAGTCCTAACCACTGTGCCACCGACGCAATTGTCAATATGAATTGATACGAAAGAATATATATCATGTCTTTTTACAACTAATTTGTGATCATGGATTCGGATTTGAAGTGGGGGGGGGGAGCGATTTAATGCTTATTGCAGTTCATGCATGCAATTTATTTTGTAAATGGTACTAATTTTATCTTCTTTTTCTGTTGGATCTTTATTTTCTGCATGAATTCTAATTGACCGCTTTGAAATTCATATATATTAGATATCTGGAGACAGCGGGCAGGAAGCCCTGAACCTAGGTTCCGAGCTTTTTGTTGCTTATCAGTAGGGTGTATCTCGTGTCCTTGCTGAGACTCGAACCCAGATCACCCAGCGCTCCACTCAGATAGTTGTTTGGACCTGCGATTGATCCCCTATCGAAGTGGAATGGAAAATTCGATTGACGACTAGATAGTAACCGATATCATATGTCTGGTCTATAGTTTAATGCAGACTGAATTCTACCAGTCAAGTTTATAATGTGATCTCCAAGCCAGGCAACTCACTATCACAGTAGACTCTGGACAGATATCAAATGTTTGGTACCGATCGATAGGAAGCCTTGGTTCTGGATTTCTAGCTTGTTAGAACTCATCAGTAAGCCGTACCTACATTCCACCTAGTAACCAATCAATGAATATATAATGTTGAATATTCCCGTGAATCAAAGATTCGGAAATCCCAAGAATGAAAGCAGGAGAATTGTAACCATATCAGTCGTTAACTGATTGTTTACTGGTATCGCAGTGTTTTATGCATTTGGTTGTCAACCCTATCAGAAAAATATTAGCACGTCATTGATACAAAATAATTATTAACAACTATAAAACTATACTACCTATCAAAACTGAAGCAGAATTCACAATGCATCAGGTGGATAACACTAAGACTGAAGAGCATTTGAAATAAATCAACATTTTATCTTACAGACTGAATTTCAACTATACCTCACCTACAAAAATTTCGATGAAACTTGACTCTAAATTAACAAAACTCCTTAGTTGAAAAATAAATTTCTAAAATTATTAGTTACAATCGGACGAGGATGTCAAATCGAGAATCGGGAAGGCGAGAAACACATTCATCAACCTGAAACCAGTCTGGAAATCTTCGTCACTCACCATCAACAACAAAATTCGTATTTTCAATACAAACGTGAAGTCAATTTTGCTTTACGGATCAGAAACTTGGCGAGTCACCAAGAATATTTTCAACAGGTTGCAGACCTTTATCAACAACTGTCTTCGCTCCATACTGAAGATTAGATGGCCAGAAAGAATTACAAACAAGAAGCTATGGGAACGAACGAAACAGGAACCAATCGCCCAACAAATATGCAGGAGGAAGTGGAGATGGATTGGACACTCGCTGAGGAGGCCGTTGAGTGACATCGCGCGTCAAGCCCTCGAGTGGAACCCGAAAGGGAAGCGGCGAGTGGGACGTCAGTGCAAGGGTGACATGGAGGAGATCGTGTGAGGAGGAGATGAAACAGTATGGAATAACATGGACGCAAGTGACAAGTACAGCACAAGACAGAAGCAAGTGGAGACGTGCAGTTGAAGCCCTATGTTCCACTAGGAACCCAAGGGAACAATCATAATAATAATTAGTTACAATGGACACAACAAAATGGCTAAAATTTGACCGCTGTAGTCTTCAACAATCAGATTACAAAAGAAGTGCAGATAACTTAAGGTCGGCTCACCGCTCAATAATGACTCACTTCAAAGTGAGTCTCTTAAAGTCCTTCTAATCAGTTGTAGGCTCTGAGTCTCTACAAAGTCAGTCGTGAAGAAGAACTAAACAGCGGTGATACTTAATCCCTTATTGGTTTATTAATTAATCCCATTCAACAACATGGTTACGTGTCTTTTAAGAATTTCTAAATAAACAGAGAATCTTTGAAATAACGGCTAGAATAATAAGACCGTTTTATATAGATATAGCACACAAGCCAACCAACACAATCACTTCATTCGATATAGTGCAAAGCAAAAGATCCGACAGAAAAAGATAAAATTAATACCATTTACAAAATAAATTGTATACATGAACAGCAATAAACATTACAGCGATCAAAGTGGGCGGCCCCTTCAAATCCGAATCCAAGAACACAAATTAACTGTAAAGAGGCATGATTTATATCCTTTCATATCAATGCATGTAGATAATTACGGACTCCAATTTGATTGGGATAATGTGGAAATTTAAAGTAGAGGGAACATCTAAAATGCAGTCAGGGGATTTATAGAAGCCTGGTACTAAAGTGGCTTATCCAGGGATTAACAAACACAATACTACATACCAAAATTTCCAGCTACCAATAGAAAGTAAATCGCACGACACGAAAGTTTGAATTCCAAGTCAATAAAAATGATCAATAGTGACGTAAATCAACAACCGGTGACAACAATGGTTGCCATGAGATACAATTATATCTTCATTCATGAAAAATTCAAATGAGTTCATTCTATAGTAAAACCTGCTCTGAAGTAAAATGTTGTCTAGAAGGACTACGAAACCTTCGCAATTAAATCAACCAGCTAAGAGAACACAAGTAATTCAATAGATAGAAATGGTATTTTGATTTGACACTAGTAACTAGTGTGATGTATCTAGTGCTCTCTTTGGTGCAGACTGAATTCTATCAGTCAGGTTTTAATGTGGCCACCATTCTACGTAGCTCGCCATCACGGTTATTTCGATTCCTTAAGTTCTCAAATGTTCTCTGGTGGGCATCGGTTTGTAACGAAATCCCTCTTAAACTTTTCATATTTCTGTTCATTATCCAATTACCTGTTATTTCTGTTATCCACAACTATAGAAAAATGCACATATCACTTTAGAGCGTTAACTAAAAGCTGGTAACTTCACGTAGTAAATATTGTGCTTCTGCCTATTAATTTATGGATTTTTCATAGCCATGCGAATCAGTCTCATTCTGTGGCTATAAACAGTCACACTTTATTCTTAATCTCTTTTTATACGCTGTAACAGATTGATAAGATGAAATAAGCATTTTAGGTGTAATGTCATCAGTCGGAATCATCATAATTCTATTAAGCATATTATTTCAACATAGATTTCATCTCGAATTGTAATCAGTTAGGGACAAAGTCGAAAGCCATGGAGCACTGGAGTGTTTTGAGACTGTTTAGCAGTACACATCCATGACTTCACTTGGAATCGAACTCAGGTCCTTCAGGTTACTAAAGGCTCACATTACCAATATGTCAGCAAGTGAGAATTCAGTGGCTCATGAATTCACTATATGACAAAAAGGAGAGCTTGAAATCATTCAAATTCATATCAACAAACTCGTGAAAATAATATCACTTTAGACTTATTCAAAAGAGAGATCTCAGTAGTAACACCATTACGTGTCTCAATGTTTTGAAACATTACTGATTTCATAGATAATAATCTTACTACTTATAAGTAGATTAACTTGTCACACAGAATATATTATTGTATCTTATCATAATTTTCAAGGTTGACAGGAAATGATCCTTACCAATCAAAAACTGGCAGTGATTTATACCATGCCATACTGCATTGTGATATTGACTACAAATCTGATCCATGGAAGTTAATCAGTTTAAATGCTCAAGATGCTGTAAAACGTCTTCTAGTGACTGACCCACAATTCAGAATAATAACACCAAATTTATTGAAACATTCATGGCTTAATGGAATCGATGAACATGAACAACACTTACACTCAGTACAGAAAAATTTAGAGCAGTTCAACAAACAACGTACAGAAAGGGTAAGTAGTGTTGTTTAGGGATAAATATGAATAACTTATTTAAAAATTGGTCAGTGAACATGCATAGCTAAATGATAAGGCCTCCTTAAAGTCACTATTCAAATAAAATTCGTTATGACAACCCTGAAAAATGCGACGATGTGCAAATTGTAATCTGACTTCCCTCAGAACGTGTTTCTGCTTGATTCTATAGTGCTATGCTGCAATTCCTACAAATAAAATTTCTGTAAATGAGTGTGTATAACTACTCACTATCACGATGTCAGTTTGTGTTAAGTCTGAAATCAATCAAATCCCAAACTGAAGTTGTTCTAGTCAGAAGTTATGAACACAGGAATCCAACAAGTCGGATGTCAGGAGAAATACTCGCCAATCACATCCATCAACTGACCATCGCGCTATAAGTCGCAGATTGACGGATGTTAGAACTTATGAGCCACTGAACTCCACCTTAGTAGCTCACCTTGTAACCTGAAGGTTCTGTGTTCTATCCCTTGTGGATCATGCTGAAGAGTTGCAGACTAAAGCGAAATGTCTGTCTAGTACTTACTAGTTTCCAGTGGTTATCTAAGTGATTTCAGTTTTTTTTTAATCAAACTTGAAGTGACCACTCTGTTTATAATGCATGTCTATACAACTAAATTAACAAACTTTTCATTTATCGCTTTCATTTAGGATAATCTATTAACTTTACGTGGTGAGAAGAAACCAATTATTTTATCACCCACTGTTAAACCTTCTTGTGTAGTTAAACCATTTATTTCATCCTAAATAAGTAATATTAAATGAAGTAATAAAAAACGCATTTCACTCTGAATGATGTGTTATTGTATACGACTGTCTGTGCTCGCAGAAAAGATGGTTTCCGTGCATTTCTTTATACGAATACTTCTTGTACAAGAAAGTGCACGTGTGATATCACTCCTCGATAATAATAAAAAAGATGTGAAATTTATTTTCAGAGTATTTTTTGATAATTATGCATTCTGTTCTCATAAATTTTTATTTTAAATTCCCGCGAAATCCTAAAGTAATATACTTATTGTATGTATGTATGCAGTGTTTTAGTTTTGAAACCAATTATTGACTTTTCTCCACAGCCCGATAAAGGTTGAACACTGTATGACTAAATAAATCTGAAGACGTTTAACTGCACATTGATTGGTCACTAGTCATTTGTGTTGTTCCTGACTGAATAATATCAGTCAAATTTGAAAGTTGATCATCAAACTATAACAGAATACTCTGAATTGGCAGTAGGTGGTTGAGGGCAATTGACACGAAGCTGTGGACATAGGTTTCATACTTGTTGGTACCCATTAGCAAGACGGTTCTGCAAACTAGATGGAGCTAATGTCGCCTCGGAGTTTGGAGCGTTCATCACCCCATGCTGCAGAGGGAGTCTTCACCCTTGAGTTATTTGGACTCACGATTAACTTCCTTCAGAAATGTAACGGATACATTAATTGGTAACTAGGATATAAGCAACGTCATGTGTCTAGTCCTAAGTGTTGGTCCTCAGTGAATACTCTTAGTCCTAATGGTGCTAAGTCAGGAGCTCGAATAGCTCAGTGGAAACTTCTCTTACAGTAGTATTGGGTGGTGTGAGTTTAAATCCTTGAGAGGAAATCAGTTTCTTCAAGGCTTCAGATCCTCTTTGCTGATTAGTGTCAAAAAACACGAAGCCTTTGTGTAGAGCTTCATCCCGATCGCCTTCAACCATCTAAACAGTCAAACTTTGATACTGCTGAGAGTAGAATTATTCATCTCGCCTTGTTTTGGCGAATGAATTATATTTCCTCCTTCAGACTTTCTTCATTGAACAGTATTCAGATAAACGATAGAACAAGATAAAATGCTTCAAGTCAGTTGGCAGGATGTCGTTGATACACACTTTATATTTATGCAAAGTTGTCATAAAGGAATACATGTGGCGATTACTGTTATCCTAAGCGACTATATACGAAACCTGATTCATATAATTATGGTAGAACTAAGGACTGAATGCCATGGTATAAGTTACTCTCCGGTGACTAGTGTATATGAGAAAATTACTTGAACGAATTCTCCATGTAAATGAAAGATTTATTTCACTTTGAGATGAATACACACCTCACTGATTATTGTTGGATATACTCAGATCAGCAGATATTCATCAATTATGCAACTAATAGTGTTCTCTGAGCTGGTTGGTTTGGTTGCAGAGCTTTCGTCGTCCTTCTGGACAACATCTTCAGCGCAATATTTAGCATAAAGTGAAATGATTTAAATTTCTTCATGAGTGATATAATTGAGTCTCCAGACAACCATCTTTACAAATGTATTGACCATTTTCTATTGACTTAGATTTTAAACTTTCTGGTCACATGATTTACTTTTTATTAGTTGGTATATTTCGTCTATATTAACGTGTTTGTTTACCTCGCTAAGCCAGAAATAAAAGCTGGCATAAGAGAAAGGTTGGGCATGAGGCTAGCAACCTCATTCTGTAAAAATAAACACTGCTAAAGAAACTTCATGCCTCTAGCTTGAAGCCCTATGTTCCACTGGGAACGTGAAGAAATAAAAAAAGTGTTTGTTAATTGCATTTTCGTTTGAGTACCAGGCTTCTTTGTTGTTTCCTCTGTCTACGATTTCGACATTACCCCAATCAAATTGATGTCTATAATTGTCTATATGCATTGATACTAAAGAATATATATCGTGTCTTTTCACGGCTGATTTGTGTTCTTGGATTCTAATTCGAAGAGCATGCCCACTTTGGTCGATGTAATTCCTGTTGCAGTCCACACAATTTATTTTGTAATTGGTATTAATTTTATCTCCTTTTTCTGTTGGATCTTTCGGTTTGCATAATATCGAATTAAGCGGTTTGACTGGCCTGTGTGCTAAATCTATATCCAACAGTTTCAGTATTCTAGCTGTTATTTCAGAAATATATTTTATATATGGTAGGATGAATTTTCTTGTGGTCTTTGGTGATGGTTTATTGTTGGTGTTTTGATTCGACTTTAAGCACTTTTTGATGAAATTTTGTAGATAACCATTCTTTTTTAAGACCGTTTGTAGGTATTTTTCTTCCATTCTTTTCAACGCTGGAGTGCTATAGTGTGTTTGAATTCTTTTAAACAATGTCTGCCCACAGTTTCTTTTGTGAGTAATTGGATTATTGCTAGTACAGTTGAGTATTTGATCTGTGTGCGTTGATTTTCTATATACTTGTGTTTCTAAATTTCCTGTGTTAGTTCTCCTGATTAAGACATCTAAAAATGGGATTTTGTTATCTAATTCTTCTTCTCTTGTGAATTTGATGTCTTCAAATATGTTGTTTATTAGTTTATGGGTATATTCTAAATCATCAATTATGAGTTTGTAGAGAAATGGAGAATGTTAGTTAAACTGATAGTGAAATTATCCACAACCCTGATGTGATCTGATAACCGTTATTAAACAATATTCATCAGCATTTTACTTCATAGGATAAGTTACATTAATTGACAATTATTTCTTAAAATCATCTGTTATGTCGGATATATATATGAGCAGATAAAACGGAATTGACATATTAGGCCAAGATAAAAATACTCTACAGGTTACAACACAGTCTTGTGTCAGTCAGCTTAGTAACCACAATGCATCCCTGACCGATGGATATTTTGTTCAACATAATTATTATTTTTATTCTTTTGAGTTCCAAGTGGAATATAAGGCTATAGCAGAAAATCTCCATTCCACTCTGTTTTCAGAGATCCCTTACAGCCAGCTGCATGACTGCCTCCTAACACGATCTCCTCCATGTTAATTCTTAAATTCCAACTCGTCATTTTCCACTCGAAATCCACTCCAGGGCTTGGAATCTAGTGTCACTCAACAGTCTCCTGAACGCATTTTTGATTCATCTCCATTTCCTTCGGTTCATTTGTTGAGCAATAGGTTCTCAATTGGTTCGCTGTCAGCGTTGTTGCTTATTCTCTCTAACCGGCCATCTGATCTTCATTGCCAAGTGAGTGGAGGGAGCTAGTGATGAAAATCTTTCGAAATATCTTTGTACAGAGATTTCGCAGCTATCCGAATAGTCAGTTTCAAATTGAACCCAAATTTAACTGGTGGATGGTGACTAGCAGTGGAATCCAAGATGCACATTTCGTCCTATCTGGGACTCGTCATCCGGCTGTCCCCGCATTCCGCAGTGAGTGATGATGTTCCCAGTGCCCATAGTCTCAAACGCCAAAGCGTTATCCACTAGACCACTTGGGCCACGAGAGCCACCTCTTGTGCAACGAGTCGATTGATTGAACCGAAGTACTTGGTCTCTGGTTGACATATCGGCTTCTTGTACAGATGCTTCGACGATGTCTGGGCATGTAATTAGAAGTTGATTGGTGGATGGTGACTAGCAGTGTAAGTACACTTTCCTGATGAGTGTTAATACATAGGAAACCTTCAGTTGAACACATTTTTCAACACTTCGACTGATAAAATCTCAAGGTTAACAATAAAATGAATTTAAAAAATAGTATTCTTATTTCACCTATGGAAATGCAACCAGTCAGAACAATTAAAAGCAGTACTCTTTTCCCCGTTATTTTATTTAATTCCTTTACGTTCCGAGTGGAAGACAGGGTTTCAAGCCAGAGCTTTGGAGTTTCGGTAGCAGTCGTGTGTTTATTTTTATGGTATGGAGTTGTTAGCTTCAAGTCCAACCTTACCTCTTTATCAGCTTAGCGAGGTTTAAGAGTACGTAAACAGGGAATCTATCCATGGGCGAGCATACGTTTTCCTTTGTTATTACAGTTCCATTCTGTCTCTTTTATGAAGTGCGATAACTTGAACTGTTGTAATCTTGTTGCAAAGCTCTGCATTGAATGTTCACTTCAGTTAATACAACAGTACAGTATTTGTTTTCATAATCGTATCCTTTATTCGTTGTGTTGATTAATTTGAAGGAAAAAAAATGTTTGATATCATGTTACTAGTTATTCAACTGTATAAATCGTTTCACTAGTTGTTAATCATTTTGTTTGTATCGTTTGTTCATTTTGTTTTTTGTCTTCAACTGTTGATCCGTTTGATTTCATTGAATTAATTATTAATTATTCTACATTTTATCATTAAATAATCAATAAAATAACATGTACTTTATAAATTTTTTATAACTGAAAACAAACAACCAAATAAATCATTTAGCTGAATGGCTTGAGCATTGAAAGTGGAATAGAAGAAGATTGGCTAACGGATGAATACGTGAAACTACCAAGAAGAAGTAGTGTGCCAGCTGAAGACAAAGAGAACCTACCTGGAGTAGAAATAGATAAGGTTTCACAAAATGTTACTATTTTCTTTATTTTATTGTAAATGTGTTGTTGTACATCACAATTTAACTTTTACATAAAAAGAATGGCCTTAATATCCATGAATGAGTAGTTGTTCTAAAGGAAGTTGTGCGTCGGTGGCATAGCAGTTGGGACGCTCGCCCACCATGCATATGATCCAGGGTTCGATCCCCGGCCGACACACTCCTTTACCTCGCTAAGCCAGAAATAATGCTGGTGAAGAGGAAAGGTTGGGCATGAGCCTAGCAACCTCATCCTGTAAAATAAAGTAAACACTGCTACAGAAACTTCAAGCCACTAGCTTGAAGCCCTATGTTCCAATGGAGAACGTGAAAAAAGGGGCTCCGTTCTAAAGGAAGTAAATACCTAGAATAATTTGAGCACCAAGAGAGCTTGAATTACTATAAATTATTTAAAGTGATCCCAGATTGTCAAACGCAAAACTCAAAACAAGATTACTTTTCTGAACGCTTCCCTGTGTAATCGCCACAGCTTCTTCAACAGAATTATTCAGAATTTACTAACCATCAGAATACATAGTCAAAAAATTACATAAATTGAACTCATTTCCTTTGAGGGTCACTTGTCGACAGACATTTGTACCAACAGAGAAATGTAAACAGTCATCACATGTTTGTAATGACTAATGTCAGATTGTCATATATGCATATTTGTCTGAATGAGTGTGTGTGCGTGCATGTTGTTTGTTGAATGGGAAACCAGTCAAAACATGATAATATTTCACCGTGGTCATAATACGCGACTGAATTTTGTTTTCCCTCGTCTGTTTCGCTTCATTAGAGTCTGCCATATAAGTGATGATAAGTCTTTCCCTTCTTTTCTATTTACTGCATTCGACGTGGTTGAAATATGTGAGGCTTCAGACGTCAGCTTTTCTTTATGTGGTGAATAAGAGCCTCATCCCATAATTTCCACATTGTCGAAATCGATCATATGTCCGCTGTCTATAGCATGCATTGCTATAGCTGATATTTTTTCTAGACGTTTCAATTGTTTTTGATTTCTAGGTGGAAGTTTCGTGCACAGTCCATGTTCATTCACTCCAACCTTCACCAGTTTACTGCTCTCCCGTATATAGCAAGCTTCACATTCTGACACAGTTTTTTATGTCATTTTGGTAACCATATCTTTGATATTCACCAGATCTTTCTTCAAAGAATCAGAGGTCTTGAAATAGACTTTTTTTATTATATGAAGCAAGTACACTTTGAAGTTGCTCAGCTGTCGTCGATAGCTCAGATTTTTCCGTTTTCTCTTTTCCCTTCTGGTCCCTTTTATTGGTAATATTATTTAGCAGCCGTTTTGGATAATCGTTTCCAATCGAAATTTGTTTTATATTGGAGTTCTCATTCTCCATATCATCATTATCTACTATAGTGTCTCTAGCTCTGTCTACGAGATTTAAAGCTACTGCAGTTTTCGTTTTTCTTGGATGACCCCTGTGGAAATTCAAATATTAGTTTCAACGCGTCGGTTTCCTGTGTTTTGTGAGCTTTAGTTTCTTGATAGTTTGTCTAGGAAAAGGCTTCCACTCACCACATAAAGAGAGGCTAAGGTCTGAAGCCTTGCATATTTCAGCCACGTCGAATGCAGTAAATAGAATAGAAGGGAAAGACTTATCATCATATATATGGCAGACTCTAATGAAGCAAAACAGACCAGGGAAAACAAAATTCAGTCCTGTATCATGACCACCGTGAAATACTATCATGTTTTGACGTATTTCCCATACAACAAAAAACATGCACACATACACACACTCATTCAGACAAATACGTACACGTGACAATCTGACATTAGTCATTACAAATATGTGATGACTGTTTACATTTCTCTGTTGATACAAATGTCTATCAACAAATGACCCTCAAAGGGACTCACTTCAATTTATGTAATTTTGATGGTTAATAAAATCCGAATAATTCTGTTGAAGAAGCGATTACACAGGGAAGTGTTCAGGAAAGTAGTCTTGTTTTGAGTTTTGCTTTGGACACTTTGGGATTATGTTGAATAATTTTTAATGAAGTTAATTCCTGTTAGGCGAAAACACTGGTAAAATGTAGAGGATATTGGACCCCATCAATGTCATTTCTGTCAAACATTATATAATACAACAGGACTTACCTTTATCAGTTAGTAATTTGAAGAGTTGTCGATTATTTCTATTACGAAACCTGAACACAGATACGTGAATCACGTGAGATATCTGCAAGCTTGGTTAACATTCATTGTCACTTACCAAACAAACAATAAATATGCAGTGCACTAGCTTGCTGTAGTACTGATTACTGTTACGAGTTGTAAAGAACACGAAAATATTCTAAGTTTCTTATAGTATTGCTCAAGTCAAGTGTAAGTAGATTAGTTCCTCCTGAAATTAATAAAAGGTTCATAGATTAGCGATCTTGATTAATGCAGTCTGATTAAACATTGAAAATATTGGTTTCTATCTAGCATACGTTGGCAAGAAAGTTGACAAGGGTCAAATCAAAACTTGACACAAACTCAAAAGGGCTGTAACTCTTGGTTTCGAGATTATTTATTTAGGTAAAGGCTATCATACTAGGGTTCTAGGAATTTCGCAAATCAACTTTCGGATAACCTTGATGAATAAGATTAAAAACGTTTTGCAATATTACATAAATATATATTCACTTTTCATCATCTTAAAGGTTACAGAAGTTTATACTCAGCACTGTTTTACTATTACTGAGTCTTTCATTCTCATTTTTTAATCACTACCTTACCGTATCATTTTTATTCTGTCTGTTGTTATAGAGTGCGAAAACTTGAAACCGCAAAATTTTCTTTCTCATTCCTAAGTTACATTGTTTATTATCAAATTCTGATAATAAAAATGGTAATATTTTTCAAGTGTTGATTTGTAGGGATTCCACTGCACTCTCTATATGCCATATGGTTAGAAGTTAGAATCCTGGGACCTGAATGGTCAGTGAGCTCACCTTGTAAACTAAATGTCCTGTGTTCGACGCATGGTGAGGTCATGGTTGTGTACTGCTAAAGGGTCCCAAACTAGGGTGAAGCAGTTTTCCAGTACTCCGTGGTTTTCAGGGGTCCTTCAAGTGAAGTCAGTGCGTGATAAAACTTGAAATAATGATTATATAAAATGTGTTTAGTGTTACAAACCGTAGATTAAACATTCATCAAAATAATCTCTTTACCGACTGGCTGATGTTATCTTGAGAGTTGATGAAGGTTAGTTTATTTGGAATGCGAAGAAATCAGTAGTGATTTTTGTAAAATAAATTTTATTTAACTAACTCACTAAATTATCTACTGACCGGTCAATTTCGTCATAATCACAATAGTTAAAATTGAAGGAATTTTACTGGAATCTCATTTTCAAGCATCGTTTTATTGATCACAGAATTCACAGTGTATATATATAGTTTCCTTCTAATGTATGACAGACTACATTTTTCAGCAACTTCACTAGACCGACTTATGATAATTTCTCACTTAAAGTTTACAATATAAATCATAACTTTAAAAAACATATTTTCAAGCTTAGAATTAGTGCATATTGAGTAATTTCTTCTCAGATCACTAATCTCTTAATCGGATAGTCTTTTAGTAATATACAAATGAGATTAGCTGGATATATTTATAGGCTTAGCTCGCATCGATTTACATTTAAATTATACATTTCAACAATTCTTCAATATGACCTTCTCCACCATCTTGAATTTAATCTGTTGTCCTTCTTTTTGTGCAGAATATTCACAGATTAATCACATGTTCAAAGAGGTATCCATTTGTCATTGGGCGTTTTGAGGCTTATAGTTACTGTAGCCTAATGGTATTTAAAATGAGACCTAATGAAAACATTGTCAGAAACTTAATTCGTTTATTCCCCTTTGTGAATTTGAATAAAGCAAGAGCAACAGATTTTGTAGAATAAAATGGTATCATCATTGCTTATTTCGTTGGCTTCTCACCAGCTTCTGCTGACAGCCTAAATAAATTATTAAGTTTATGTACAGAAAAGTTTTAACATACTTGCAAATCTTACATAATGTCAGTTGAGAGGAGGTTCTGCACTTAGTGTCAATATGTAAACAGCACATCTCTAGTGTGCAACAGTGAAAGTCATGCCTCCTACCTACTCAGATTATTCAACAACAGACACACAAATATTGAATTTACTGTGGAACATGAAAATGATGGAAAGTTCCATTTCCTCGACATTGCTATGCAACGCCTAGAAGATGATAGTCTCCAGGGGTCGATTACTCGAAAGCCTACATGGAATGGACAATACCTATATTCTAATAGATTTTGTCCATATAGCTTTAAACGTGGACCAGTCAAGACCCTGTACTATAGAGCTAGGAGAATATGCTCTACAGTGGAATTAGAGGGGGAATTTATGTTTCTCGAAAAGATGTTGAAAAATAGCAGTTATCCTCAAAGGTTCAATAATAAGTACGGAAGATCTGAAGGCTCAGATGTCAAGCAAATCACAGTGGGGAAAAAGCCCATCTTCATTCAACTTGATTTTAAAGGCGAAAATATTACGGCAGTTGTCAACAGAAGACTGAGGACGTCACTAGCCAGAGCCTATCCTGCAGGTAAGTTGGTTCCCGTCTGTTGGATAACATGCCCCTTGGTGCAGTCAAAAGTCACCAGATACCCTTCCCATCCAACTGCGTATACAAATTTACTTGTACCTGAGGGAGCAGTTACATTGGGAGAACAGAAAGAAAGGCATACCTACAATTTTCTGAACGTATGACGAAAAGCCTACGTCTCAAGAGAACAAACGCTTAAAGTAGTGCCGTCGCCAGGCATCTCCTCAATACGGGTCATGAGGTGGAAATCGCGAAATCCTTTAAAGTTATCAATGGACAAAAAAGCCCAATTCTCCTAAAGTTTGCCGGAGCAGTCTCTATCAAACGCCTGAAACCCGAATTATTTGTTTAGAAGAAAGCAGATGTCAGTCTTTTCTTGCCCTGGTAACTGGATGTCTTTATTTTCTATTTCAATAGATTACGTAATCTTTGGCTTTAACCTCACCCCGTTTCGATACAGTGTAATTTTGCTTGTCTCTTGTTTCTGTGATTTGAGTTGAACTCAGTACATTGTTACCGAATTTATTAGTCACTCATCATCTTACATATCTCTTGTCTTCATTATGTAAGTCGTTTACCATTGTTTGCTTACTTTTTTTGTTTAAACTTGAACTACCTGTGCAAAAACTATATAAGCATAATTTTTTGAGCACTGTTCACTAGTTCCAAAACTTCCTGTCAACTGACATCACGTAAAATTCACCAGTATGTTAAACCTTTCCTGTACATGAACTTAATAATAATGTATATAGGTTGTAGGCAGCAGCTGATGAGAAGCCATGGAAACATCGTCACTGACTGGTATGCATGTACACTGAAAGTGATGAGTGCTGCAAGTAGTTTGACATTAAAATCTTGAGCTCCATTGTTATCTTTCACTAGTTGGAGTGTTGCGCAGTTTAGATTTAGAGACGAGACCTTTTTAAATTCAATAATCAGTTCATATCATAAAAAGATATTTTGATTTTCTATGCTTTAGGACAATGAAGACAGTCAACTAATGGAAGATGGTGTGGCAAATGGCAGACAAACAGACAGAGACGATGTTGATATTGATGAAAATGAACAGGTGAGATTCACGGTTTCTGTTCACTAGATTTCTTTTTTTTTTAATTGTCTTCACATTCAAATTATCACATATTTCATTTGACACAGTTCTGTTTAAGTATTGATTTGTAGGGATTTGGTTGATTGGTTACAGAATTTCATCATGAGCTGACGTTGGTTAGAGAACCATTGGAAAACCTGGGAGTACTGGACAGCTGTTTCGTCCCAGTTTGGGACTCTTCATCAGTACGCACCCACCGAGGCCCTGGGTTCGAACCTCGGTGGGTGCGTACTGATGAAGAGTCCCAAACTGGGACGAAACAGCTGTCCAGTACTCCCAGGTTTTCCAATGGTTCTCTAACCAACGTCAGCTCATGATGAAATTCTGTAAACAGTTCTGTTTAATTTATCGGTGAAGTTATATGATCTAGTTATAAAGCACTGGACCCTCATATAACTGAGAATTAGCATTCAGAATATTATACATCATACTGAATGAATTCAGATTAACTTATTTGAGTTCAAGCAATAAGTAAAACTGATACGTGTCGAAATTCACCTGTAAAGTCTACACTTTTATATATAAAGTTATGTATATTAGATCGAAGGAACGTATTTCTCAACAGATGTGCCCAAGTTTTATACTTATATCAATGTGCCGAAGGAAATTAAGTTGGATTGGATATGCGTTCAGGAGACCTTCAAGTAGTATCTCAGACCAGATCTTGGAGTGAAAACCGAATGGGAAGTGACAGGTTGGGTGTCCGTCAGTAACAGAGAAGATCATGTGAAGAAAAACTAATGAAAGCCTATTAGTAATCGTGAAGTTATTTTAAAGTGATTGCAGAGAACAGAGTGGATTGGAAATGTGCCACTGAAGACCTATCTTCCACTCGAAACTGAAGGAATATGTATTATTATAAAATCAAACGGGAAGATTTTGTTATTGTTTCAGCATGTCCCAAAGAATTATTAAATTTAGAGTTATCTATTTGATGAATAAATTCCCCTTAGAATGTGAAGCATCTTAAATTTTATAGGAATCTTGTCAATATTTGTGAGCAGAGAAAAGTAGTCAACTAAGAAGTCACTATTACTCTAGGTTCACAATAGGCATTACTGTTCTTATTACGTGTTTGTCAGACGACTCTATTACAATATAAAAAAGTTTCTATTTACAGTTCATTCATAAATGAGACCCATATTAGTATATTATTATTCCTTTGGGTTCCAAGTGGAACATAGGACTTCAACAACACATCTCCACTTCCTTCTATTTTCTGCCGTCCTCTTCAGCTGGGTCCACGATTGACCTGAATCTCTCATCTCCTACTCGCATACCACCGTCCCCTCCTTGACACCCTAGGATGACCCACTCGTCGTTTCCTATTTGGGTTCTACTTGAGCAATGGCCTGTATTGTGCGTGGTGTCATTCGACGGCCTCCTCAACGTGTTCCCGATCCATCTCCACTTTCTCCTACATATTTGTTGAGCGATCGGCTCTTGGCTGGTTTGTTCCCACAGTTTCTTGTTGTTAATTCTTTCTCACTGGCCATCTGATCTTCATTATGGAGCCAGCCAGCGAAGGCAGTTGTTGATAAAAGTCTGTAGTCACCTGTTGGGAATCCCTTTCGTGGCACACCCGCCATATTCCTCACCAATATAGAAGAACTGACTGACTTGATATTGGCGTTGAAAATCCGAATCTTGTTCCTTATCCTGCGGAGTGCGATTCTGGCTGGCTTTGACATTCCTTCCGACTACCTACTGCTGAAATGATGCTTTCTAGATAAATGAAGGAGGTTACCTCTCTTAAATCTCTGCCGTTGATGGTGATTGGTGCTGGTTGTTGTTATTGGCTGGTTGGTTAGTGTATTCGTTGGTTATCTTCATCACCTCCGTCTTCTCTAAGTTCACTTGGAATCCTGTCTTCGCTGCATGCCTCGTCAACCAGTTTGTTGGTTTTTGCCTGCAAGTCTTCGAGTTTAAATGACACTAGACATATATCATCTGCGAAATCCACATCTTCATAAGTAATTGGTATATATATATACATGATCATTTAAATTTACCAGAATATTCTGCAATCCACTCTCACAATTTTAGGATACACTGAATGATCTTACTCATGGTCAGTTAGTGGGAAATTCGTTTAAAAATTTATTAGAGGAATACACTTCGCTTGTCCATGAGCAAAATGAACAAGTTAGTGAATTTTTTAAACGATTTTTGTTTTTTGCTTCTCATACTTTTATAGTATTCATTTTTCTGGTATTTTTAAATAACTTTTCAAAATTATCATATGTTTATCTATGTAAGAATGAGGGGAGTTTCAGCTGATTGACTGATTTCTCATTCATATACGAATACTGAGTTTGTAGTTACATGCCTCGTGTCCACGTAAATTATTATCATGACTAATAATCTCGTATTATTTTGCTTCTATGGGTGCTTTACCGAAGTTCAACACTTTGAATAGATGAACTCATACTCAGTGGTCTCGATTCACAGTTCAATTCATTTCAGTTATTGTTTATTTAAGATTATGTGTTGAGAAGCAAGGTGGTTCATTGTTCAACAGGCAAGAATGAAGGTGAAAAGGAACTAAGTTAAATGCACAGAAGAAACATGTAGGAGTGAATCAATTACTAGAAATTAAGCAAACTAGTAGGAAAGAGTTAAATACTATAGGCGAATAAAATTCTGAAGAAAATTTTCCTGTACACAGAGTTTGGCATTATATTAATGAACAGCTAATGTCTGAGCCATATACGAGTGTAGAAACCTAACACTCCTTGAAATTATTTTTGACTGGACACAAATCAGTAACTAGTGATATGTGTCTAGTCCTACCTTTGGTGCAGACTGAATTCCAAAAGTCAAGTTTGCAGTATGGCCACCATGCTAGGTGGCTCTCCATCATTTGACTAGTAGAGTTCAGTCTGCACCAACGATAGGACTAGACAAACACAGATTACACTAGTTACTGACTAGGGTCCAACCAAAAAAAATATTCAATACAGTCCTAAAAAGGCCAATCACGAAACCGAATAGTTCAGTGGCAACGTCTTTGACAACAGTACTCACTGGGTGACGCGTGTTCGAATCTGAGGAGCGGCGTGAGTTCCTTCAAGGTTGCATATACGCCTTGCTGACTGGTTAGTGCCAACTAGCACGAAACCCAGGTCTAGTCAAAGCTTTCTGCCGACTGCTTCCAACCATCTAATACCAACTCCTTGAAATTAGTTATCCAACCATACATGACAAAGTATTCTGAAAGTGTTGAATAGTCACTAAAAAATCCAGATTTAATTTCATTCATGTAGTATACCATATTCCGCCCTTATCCCTACTTTTAGGAAATTTGTCACATACTAACCTAGTCAACAGCAGAACACTCACAAAGCTGTTACTATATTCTGGAACACGCATCCTTGACTGAAGATAAAGCAGGCTGAAAAGTAGTTGACATCGTTTAATGAAATGAATATTCCAATCAACTTTAACGTTTAAAAAATACAAAATTATAACCTGACTTATTCCTTTCACAGTCAAATATACGTTTAGTTTCTATTATACTGTCTATTTTAAGTTTAGAAAACACCCCATCGATACTACACAAACGATTGTGGTCCCCTATATGAAAAGATTTCGAGTCACTTACTAGTAGTAAAAGAATATTGTACATTATTACGCAGAATGCTCAAGATTTAAAATGTGATTAAATCCGATGTGAATCTTTGATATATTTTAAGTGGAATAGGCATAAATTGACTCTAGAGATAGTGTCTACATTTAAAAGTTCCCGTCTGCTAAGCAGTTTGAGTGTTGAATAAATGATCTTCTCCTGAACTGGGTAATTTAAACGCGAAGGGCTTTCATTTTCCATTCTAGGCGATTTCGTCACTTTCAAGTGTAAAACAATTTAACTTTTCGAATTATTCATGAACAGGCCCATCAAGTGTTCTCCTGGATTTTATTAACCACCATGTTCATTTGTAACTGTGTTAATAATTTCATTGAAAACACACTTGATTTTTCGATTATATGATTTTCTCTTCACTGAATGATAAAGATATGTTGACCACAAAAGATAACCTGAGTAACAAGTACACAGGAATTGTTTTGAATTCATAATACTTTATTCGTGTTAGAGGTACACATTTTCCTGATCAAATATACGTCTATAGTTGTCTACATGCAACAGTATAAAGAACAATTAATCTTGCTGAAGTCTGCATTGAAGATGTTGTCTAGAAACAAAATGAAAGCTTCTCAATTAAACCACCTAACTCAGAGAACACAACCACATCAAAATAATTAATCATGACTCTTCATTTGTGCCTATATTAGCGAATAGGCAGGGGACCTCAACTTTAACCATTTAGTGTCTCTTGGTTTACTTCAGTTTATCTTGCAAATAACTTCTGTTTTATCTTCTGTTGTTGAATCTTTTATTCTACAAGGTGTGGAATAAAGGGAGGGTGTTAACTTGTGAGAAATATTCATTCTAAAGTGAAGCATTTTGTAGTCAACATTTAACCATTGCATTTTATGTATGATAATAAGCAATCAACAAAGTGCTTTAAATAGACCAATAAAATAGCCGCTTAGGGAAGAAGTGATTTCAGTAATATGGTGGTGTTGTCACCTCGAATCCAAACAAATTAGAAACCAAGCAAACACTCACCCGTCAGGGCATGAGCATTAACATCACCTAGTTTCTAAACTCACCCCTCCTCAAGTTCAGTTAAGATTAAAATAACCAACACATTGAACAGCAGTCTATTGTGTAAACCAGTTCTTCATGCGAATAAGTTCTGTATAATTTTAGATTTCTGAGCCTGTTTCTCGCTGACTGATTCTCTCTTCACTGGCATTCTATCAAGTAACGAGTCTATAAAAACCTTGGCATGAGTACTGGATTGCACCATTAACTTATTTTTTTATTTTATTCCCTTGCGTTCCAAGTGGAACGTAAGGCTTCAAGCTTGAGCTGTAAAGTTTCAGGAGCAGTAACAGTGATTTTCACCAGGTGGAATTGTTAGCGTCACGTCCAACCTTCCCTCTAAATCGGTCTTTCTGCGAGCTAATCCAGGTTGAGGAGTGCGTTGGCCGGAAATTAAACTCCGGGCCACATGCGTGGTTGGCGAATGTCCTACCAGAGAAACACTTAAGCACCAATAACCTCGATAGTGGTCATGTGCCACCCTCCCCTAGGAGATCCAAACTCGAATTACCCACTGACACAGTCATGGATGTTTTCACTAAGCTTATTAGGCACCACTAATTACTTCAAAGTAAGAAACACCAGATTAAAATTCAAAACATTATCCAAACATTCTTTTGAGGAGACTATAAACCTCACCTACCCATTAAGATAAATAACAGGAATACTGATAAAAAACTTATAGTTTTTATATATTACAGTAGATACTGTTCATCTTAAAGACGAACAATACTAGGTCCTTCGGCATAAAATCTGATATTCACGTCTTTCTAATTTCTAGGAAGAGATACGACTACACTTACTTCTTTACGATTTTGGTGTTAATTATATTACAGTAGATTACAGTACAATGCTCTGCAACCACAAATGTGGTATGGCGTTCAATCCCAGGCTGGTGCACTCTTAAACCCCGCTCAGGTGTTAGTAAGGCTGGTAAGAAGGGAATGCTTGGCAAGCCAACTCTTCAAAACCGAAACACCACTGTTACTGAAACTTCAAAGTTCAAGCTTGAAGCCACATATTCCATTGGGAACGCCATGGAATTAAAAAATAATTTTTATTTTGATTATAGCTTAATTCCACACCGTAGTTTTGGTACAAGTATAGAATTTTAAGCATGTGATATTGGTAGCCCAAATTTTGCAGGCTGACTATTGATATCAGGTGTTCCTTGGCAGGGACCATGTGCATGGTCGACGAGCGTCCTAACCGCTGTGAAGAAGAATAAAAATGCATGAAACATAAGCGTAAGTTCAGCATTCCAATACCAGTTGTCTGATGTGCTCTTCTAATCTCCATTCCAATGGTTTTAGAATTAGAGTGAGATAGTAAGTGGTTATGCTTTCTGTCATCCCCGATACTTAAATTTTCAAAGTTTACATGAATATTCATTTGTATACTATGGTGTTAATCGATTATTCTTGTTTATAAACAAAGGAAGAAGAAGAAGATACCAATCAGGAAGAAGTAAACAACGACAAAACAGATGATGCAGGCGATGTCAGTATTGAAGAGAATGAACCAGTAAGTATATTTAGAGTAAATCGCTTTTCTATGTTACAATATTATCAATTGATTGCTTACAGGAGAATGGAAACATTGGCTTGTGAATAATGAAGCTAGACGTATAGACGAACAAATTAATTTACAATCCTTCACAGAACTTCATCAGCTGAAATTTTTAAACTTACAAATATCAAACGTAAAACAGAGATAGACTGATAGTACAACAAATAAATATAAGCAAAAGAAAAGATAGAATGGCTAGATAAAAATACCAAACTGGATTAAAATCATCCACAAGAGTGAAGGCATCCATGGAAACTACATTCTTCAACTATCACTTACATTGACAAATAGAGGACAACAGGCAAGTAAGTTTAGCCTGTGTACGTTACTCAGGTTACCAGACAAAAGTGTTACAGTTCAGTGTTACACCTTGAGTCAGTGCAAACTTAAAATTCAGTCAAACAAATACCACAGTAATTGGTATAAAAATATCTATATAAGAAAGTAAATTACCGGTGTAGATTTTTAACATTGCTTAGCTAAAACTTCACCTTAGAGAAAAACTCCATTTAGGTGTTCATGTACTCCACTACAAGTGTTCTCCATTATTTACAGTGTGTGATTAGTTTCATTGGCTTTCAAATCACTGGAGAAGTAGTGATATACTTTGCCTTATCCCACCTTATGTTATAAATGTCCAATGCTAAAGGATCTCAATTTTAAAATAAATAGCTAATAAGTATTCTCTATACCCTGTAATTTCTTAAGTGAAGAAGTCTCCTTCGGAAACACTATCATATATTAGTGAAGTTCGAGAAACGGGGTCGTCGCAGCTTTTGTTCCAACATTCATATACTCTGGGTTCTTTTACTCCACAGACAGATTCTTTTTACATTTACTGAGCTGCATGATATATTTAAAACTGTTTGGAACTTCAGCTAAAAGAATAGTAAATGCTTTGATAAGTGCCATTATCAACTGAAATGAGCAACTGAGCGTCACCTGACATAAATAAGTAGCTGTTGAATTCAGTTAGAACCAATTGTGTGTATGGCATAAAAGTGGTTGAAGTATTATTAGACGGCAATTACAACCACAGAACTCCAATTGAACGCAAATCCTCCGACAAAATGAAAAGCATGGCAGTCCATAAAGTCACTAAGAGCGAGGAATTCATATGAACCGCATGAAATCCCCTAAACACTGAAAACGGGATCAAAGACCCTAGCAGGCCTGTTCACACTACTACTGCCGAAGGTATAGAAGTAACCGTGCCTGCTGACTGAAAGGAAGACTACCTTGTCAAGCTGGTTCGGTCGGTCGGTCGGTTTTCGACATAGAACTTTGCACATATGTGCGGAAGTTCAAGTCGCCACAATCTATGTAGCACGCAAAGCAAGAGAAGGAAGTAGAAGAAATGCATAATATAGACAGTAAACAGAGGTGTGAGACAAAGGAATAGTAATAACGAAGAACAAAAGTTTAATTGGAAATCATAAGTCACAAGGAGTGGATGCATCTGCGCCACTGAGAACGATTTTGAGCCATGTCACCAATTGTTTCCAACCATTGGTTTTTACCATCCCGAGGGCCCCAACCAGGAAGTCTACATCTTCCTACGTGGCTTAGATTAACTGTTGTGGATTTCATTGATTGGTGCCATGTTTTGGTTTGACCGCCGCTAGCTCTTTTCCAGCCTGACCCTATATCAGCTAACATTGCCCGTCGAGGAAGGCGATGACTAGGCATACGTAGTACATGTCCTAACCATCTCAGTCGAAGTAATTTCACAGTCTCGTCGATTGATTTCCCCGCCTTACCTAGCACTCGACGCCTAACCTCAATATTGCTCACCTTATTATACCACTTCACGCGGGAGATAGAACGCAGACACCTATGATCGAACACAGCTAATCTTTTCATGTCTTCTGCTCTCAATGGCCAGGTCTCACAGCCATAAAGGAGGACGGAGCGGACTGTTGAGCAGTACACACGCCCTTTGGTCGATAGTCGGATATCGCGTCTACGCCAGAGACGGCGAAAACTGGCGAATGCGAACCTAGCCCTCTGTATTCGTGCTGAAATTTCGTCGGAGATCAACCCGTTTGGGCTGATGGTACTTCCCAAGTAAGTGAAGCGGTCAACGTGTTCTACCACTTCACTTCCTATTTCTAATCTAGGGGTCAATGAAGTCCAATCCTGCAGCATCATCTTACATTTTATAGGGGCGAATCGCATGCCAAACATGCGGAGATTGTTGCTCAGGGTGTTCAGTAGACTCTGCATTTTGTCAGAGTCCTCGCCTAGAAGGACTATATCGTCCGCATATTCTAAGTCAACGAGATTCTTCCCTGGTAGCAAGTCAATCCCTGAGTCGCTGAAGTGAGTTAGGGTTAAGTCCATTAGTACATCTATGATGAAATTGAATAGGAATGGGGATAATGGGCATCCTTGACGGACGCCACTAGTCGTCACCACTTCAGATGACAACTCGCCGTAAGCCCTCACCTGGCTGCATGAGTACGAGTAGAGTGCCTTAATCAGTGCAATGTATTTTCTAGGCATTCCCTTTACAGCCAAGCATCGCCAGAGAACCTCCCGGTCGACAGAATCGAATGCCGCCTTTAGATCAAGAAATATAATGATTGTCGGACGCCGGTAGGAATGCCTATGTTCTAAAATCTGTCGAAGGGTGAAGATGTGATCAATACACCCTCTACCTGGCCTAAAACCTGCCTGGTTTTCTCGTGTTTGTGTCTCCCGAGCACCACTTAATCTACGCAGTATTATTGAGCCTAGGATTTTAGATACTATATTAGTCAAGCTAATCCCTCTGTGATTATCACAAGACGACTTGTCCCCCTTCTTGTATATCGGGATGATCAGTGACTTACACCAACCCGATGGGACTTCCTCTGATTCCCAAACGCTGCCTAGAACCTCCGTTAACGCAGACAGTAAACTGTCGCCTCCGTACTTAAATACCTCTGGAGTCAATAAATCAGGTCCCGCTGCTTTGCCTAGCTTCAGATTGGTGACAGCTTTGTCAAGCTGCCAAATTAGGGCGTAGTAAGCATATTCAAGAAGTGGCGTGAGATCATGCTGCCATAGACTCAAAGCAGTATATTAAGCCACGGGAAAGATTTTGCTGGGAACACGTTGGATTTACCAAAAACAAAGCATGCACCACTGTCTTCTCCCTAAGTGACCTTATTATTTTATTTTATTTTATTTAAATATATTGCTCATCAAACTACACTTCAGAATAGCTGAGTCTTTTTGTTTTGTGTTTTGTTACCAGTACTTACAATCCAGTTAGGAGTGAGTAATTATTTGTATTACATTGAGCAAAACTCATGTAGTGTAGCATATCAGAAGCACAACCAGTACTTTAGAATGCTGCGTGCTAACTGGTCCACAATGGAGAGCTCAGAGAAACCTTTGGAGTGAATACAAGATTAAGGAAAGGCTATGTACTATCACTGATGATATTCCAGATTGTGGTTAACTCGATCATACCGCAGACTATGGGGAGTGAGAAGACAGAAATATTGTTGCTGCTATATTTTGATTGAACTAGCGTATACACATATCCTAATACTTCCTCGCGTTTATATTTGTGTCCTAACGTTGTGATTACTCGACATCCGCAACGTAATTCAAAAGGCACTTGCGAAGGAATACGATAGTGTATTGTTGCAGCAATCAACAATTCAAAAATCGAGCGAGTACAAAAAGTATCAATTGTTAACATGCATGATTTAGAGTAATAAACAAATGAAAGTACAATTACACAATGAAAGTATAGTACAATGATGAGTAATAAAACGGGTCACTACAATAGCCCCTCCGTAGAATGCAGGTAAATGAAGTTTACCTGTATTCGGAATGATATTGTAAATTACAAGAACAAAAAAAATATGAAAACCGAATTGAGGCTTTTAAGTTTTCTGAGGTTCGATTATAACTGTATATATTCGAAAATGTTAACAACTTTGAAACGAACTAAAATGTTTAGAAAGTTGTGCAAAATGTAACAATAAAACCAGAAAAATTATTATTAGAATAATAATGAGGTTGTTATTGTAAAGAGTTACATATTAGATTTATATCTTAACATACAGTTAATAGTATAGTAATAAGGAAGTATGGAAATGACTTGGGTAAACATTCAGTTACCTCTATTTCCATGAAAGCTGGTTGTACAAGTGGAATTGTACAAGAAGAGATGGCTGTGCCAGAGAAGAGTGTAGCAGTAGCTGCTGCTGATACGGTTGAAAGTGAACGTCCGTCAGCATGTTGTTTTTGTTGCTGGGGTGTTGTTACTCGGCGTTGAAGAGTAACTTGAATTGATGTTTGCTGAGGTTGGAGAGTAGAAGTTGGTTGATTGATCGACATTACAACAAGAGCAGTTGGCACAAGCTGTGGTAAACCAGTGGTTTGAATCAATTGACCGTTAGGAACAACATTCATGACTTTTAATGGAGCTCCTGGTGCCAGAGTGATAAACTGGGGAGTAGCATAGGAGCGTGCAGTTACAGTACAAGGTTGACCACTGACAGAGACGTCAGTTGCCATCATTGTTGCTTGTTGCTGATGTTGTTGGATATAAGCTTGCTGTTGAGCTGGTTGTAACTGATGAGCTTGTGCTTGAATCTGTTGTTGTTGAGGTGATTGGGTAAACTGTTGTAATTGAACAGCTGTAGGACCGGCTTGAGTAAATGGAGTTGCAGACCATTGTAAGAGTGTTTGCACACCTGTAGACAATGCTGAAGCTTGAGGACAGAGAACTGAAATTGAGGTGTTGCATAACAGCCAGCTGCTTGAGTATCAGGGTGAACTGGGATAGCAGTCGCTGTGCCGCCAGGTCCGGAGGTATTTTAGCAGAAATATCAGTAATTATACATCCAAATGTTATGAAGTTATAAAAGTTAATGCGACGGCAAAGATGATTTATTCCACTGTGTATACTTCGAAATGATGTAGTCCATCAATAAGCAATGTCGGGCTCGCCAATTTGTTGCTGCTATATTTTGATTGAACTAGCGTATACACATATCCTAATACTTCCTCGCGTTTATATTTGTGTCCTAACGTTGTGATTACTCGACATCCGCAACGTAATTCAAAAGGCACTTGCGAAGGAATACGATAGTGTATTGTTGCAGCAATCAACAATTCAAAAATCGAGCGAGTACAAAAAGTATCAATTGTTAACATGCATGATTTAGAGTAATAAACAAATGAAAGTACAATTACACAATGAAAGTATAGTACAATGATGAGTAATAAAACGGGTCACTACAATATGTTAAACTGAGACTCTGATAGATATGGACTTTTTGGATGATTCTTGCCTCACAGCAAACGTACTCATAGATATACCGGCTATAACCAACAACTTAACGGAAGAGACAAAGTAGATAGGAAGTGTGATGAATAAGGAGAAACTAGAGGTGATAACCAACAATAACAAGCACCAGTCACCGTCAACAGTGGAAATTTGAGGATTATATCAGGAAAAACAAGGTAGGTGTTTATAACTCTCATTGAGGTTGGTGTGCAGATTTACTACACTCAGAATATAAAGGCTATGCTTCTCCAGGGTTTAGAGATTTGGAGAGTCACAAAAATCATTTCCAAAAGGGAGCTGCACACTTCCAGCAATATGCGCTGGCGACCTTTCGGCTAACAAATATACAGAAGGAAACAGAGATGAGTTGGATATAAGCTTGGTAGGCTGTCTAGCAACACCACGCGCCAAGCCCTGCAGTGGAACCCAAATGGGAAAATGGGAGTTAGTCATCGTAGGGTGACATGGAAGAGATCGTGTGAGGAGGAAATGGAAGCTGTTTATAGGTAATCGTTGAGTCATGTAAAAAGATTGCAGAAAATACAACGAAATGCGTACGTGCAACTAAAGCCCCATATTATAATCGGAATCCAAGTAAATGATAATATACAATGAGTTTAATAATCATCTCTCCCAGTAACTGAATGTTATTGGTTATTTTTGAAGAGTCCCTCACCGTCTCACTGGTTTATTTTGTAAACCGCATGGTTGACCTTTTGGTTATATCACTTTCTTTTTAATGTTTAATAAATCTCATCTACGTCAGTGTGTTTGTGGATAGTAGACTTGTCTGAGTTCCAGGCTTTCATCCGCATCTATGGTGTTTCCTTTGTCTAGAATCTGTACATTTCTCCAGTACGATTGGCATCTATAGCTACCAGTTTAATCGGAGCAAAGTGATTTTGGTGTTCAATTAACCATGTTTAGTGATATGGAGAAAATTCAGCACCTTGTCGTCCTTTTAAAGTATAAGTACTCATTGTCCTTTTATGCAGTGGTGATGAATTCATGTGAATCATTTTAACCAACAATATTACCTTATTCGATAGTCCAGTCCATATAAAGTACTTTAGTCTTTATTTTGGTTTCTAGTAATTAAATAACTTATGCTGGTCAAATCAACTGAATGAATGGAAGATTTGCCACAAAAATAAATAGTGTCTGACCAGTTTCAGTGTCTTATTTCGATCTAGCATTTGAAAACTTTTTTTCAGGCCGAATAGTATTATGCTCTTTGAGTTTTACACTCTCTTCAGTATCACTCAATACGGGTAATTAATAAAATAGTAAACATTTTGTTTGTTTAAATAATAAGATTTCCGGTAACTTATTTAGGTAAGTCTTCAAGAAGATGCTGCGTCTGATAACAATGACGATAGCGAATTGGTTGAAGCAGACGTGGCAGAAGATTTTTTGGAACTGGAAAATGCTGAGAATTGAGTAAGTAAAAGCAATGTGTGAATCTTTTGCCTGTGAGAAGTGGTTACCAGATGCTAACAGATATATTCTTCTGAATCATGAAAGTCATGGAGTTTGTATTGTTGTCACTGCATTAACTAACAAAATTTCTGATTGCGTCATATATATATATAATGCCTTTTGGGTTCCGAGTGGAACAGGACTTCAACAATACACCTCTTGTTCATCAGCAGGCACCCACCGGGGTTCAAACTCATGACCTTCTGGTTACAAGGCTAGCAAGCTCATAGACCACTGAGCCACTGGGACCCGATCCAGTGGCCCATGAACTCTAACTTCTGCCAATTTTTACAGCATAGCACGATCATTTCGTAATGTCTTCTTCAATAAGTTACTGCCTCATCTTCAACCTGCTGCACTCTACAGGTCAAGGCTTCCCGCTGCCTGAATAGGGCCGGTCGCTACTTCGATAGTTCGAACCCAGGTGGGTGCGTACCGATGAAGAGTCCCAAACTGGAACGAAAAATCCTATCAGTACTTCCAGGCTTTCCAGTGGTTCTCTAACTCATGTCAGCTCATGATGAAATCCTCTAACCAATCAAAAAAATCCCTACAAAACCAATACTTGAAGGCAACAAATGTTTTGATTACCATTCACTTTACTCATAGATGTACCAAGGGATGTGACTGTGATCAACTTCGCTATGATAGAGTCGTTCGAACACTGATCAGGAATTTTCGTATGTTTGGTATATGATTCGAACTTTTCAAAGATAAACTGATGCTCCTGGACTGGTTTGCACCCACTTGTATTCTTATGAGTAGAAAGTAAAGGGAAAAAATGATAGGACCCGACACGAAATAGTATATTATCCTTTTTCACGAATTTTTTTATTATCTTGTGATGGAGTTACTATGTTAATCTGTCGTTTCTCATGCATATTGTGATCCAGTGTGTGTATGATTGATACATCATTCTTTGTCTCACCTTGGTCTTTGTTGGACCGTCAACCAATCAGGATAGATACATCCAGTCAATAAGAACAATGCATTCTAATGTATCGTTTTCCTAATAAATGTACAGTATGGTATCTTACAGTCACACGCCACCCTTTGTATTTTTATATTTGCGTGGCTCAGTGAATCAGAAGGTACAACTGACAAAATATGCATATTAGCGTACCAGTCGAGTTCATCACCATTATAACAATTAGCAGCGCAGATGTAACAAATTGACGTCGGTTTTACACAGTTCATTGCAGTTACAACAAAAAATGGAAAGGATTTGTAGCTCATATGGATAATTTTTTATTTAGTTGTGTTATCTGAGCTAGTTGATTTAATTACAATGCTTTCATTTTACTTATGAACAACATCTTCAGAGCAGGCTTTAGTATGAAATAAAATTATTTGAATATAATTGTATCTCCTGACAACCATTGTCGTCAGTGGTTTTTATTTTACGTCTCTGTTAATTATTTTTATTAGTCTGTAATTCGGACTTTCTTGTCATGTGGTTTATTTTTAATTAGTTGCTAAATTTACAATGTGATTTCTGTCCTTACTGAGTGGTGTCAGATGAAACAAAGTAGAGTTGGAAAAGAATTACTGCTGGTCAAATCAAAACATGGAACCAGACTATGAAGTTTTTGACAGCTGGTTTAAGCCATGTAGGGTGTTCTAAACCGCCTAACTTAAGCTACTGAGATGCTAATAGCCAATGGCTGGAGACTGTTACCCAGTCTGTCAGACATGAGCCAAGAACAGTTTAAGTGGGCACACTTTTGAGCATATGATAATAATAGTAATATAATGGTTAAATCCTGGTTAAACAACGGTAAAATAGGAAGACAGTGTTTTAAAATAGGATTAAAATGGGAAAGTAGCGATCAGATAATGGGAAATATTGGTTTGATCTTGGGTGAGTATTGGTTCAGTAATGATAAAACATTATTCAATTAATGGTCGAAATGGTAAAATACCAGTTAAATTTTAATGGAATAATGTTCAGAATGTGAAAAATTATGTCACGGAATCCAAATCTCTCCTTCTTTTATACTATTGGCCATGCCCACTATTCAACCGGTTTTTGCCTATTTTTCCCACAATTGGGTAGTAACTTGGCTCAAAATGGTTTCAAATGGCACAGGTACATTCACACTTTGTAGTCTCTATTAAGTCACCGTTATAGCTTGCGTAAGTAATCTTTATTTTGAAAACCTCTGTTTATTATAGTTTTGTTATATACTTTCTTCCGTTTACCTTTACGCTTGCTTTTATGAGGTGTAGCAAGGTGAACTGCTGCACTGACGTACAAAGTTCTACGTTGAAAATTAATTTCAGCTCAAGAAAAGTTTATTATAATATCTTCACTACATTTGTGTTCATATGGAATGATAAAATTAAGGTTGCTCGTAATTTCTAGATGGACTTCTGTTTTTGTGACTACGTCACAGGTGTTTAGTACAGATGAATTCGCTCACCCTCAAACGCCTACTATGTTCTTGAATTTTAGATTATTCAAGTTATATGACAGAATAACTTTTTCTTTAGCCCTATGAAATTCAACAATTTCTTATACTAAGGGTACTAGAAAATTTCCATTGGCTACAGCTAACCAGGTAGATCATTCAACGATATGCGATCACCAATAGTTATTTATCCCTTGTATTATTAGAAAGTGTTTCATATTACATATTGCAAAACCTAGTTCAGTTCACTTACACCGCTTCTGAAATAACTATGCAGTACAGTATGGTTATGAGTCAGTGAGGTTTTCTGTGTACTTTTGATAAAACAGCTTTTCCACTGTGACTCCCAATGTACTCCTAGCCATTTTCTCACTAAGCTCAATCCTATGTATCCCAAGGAAAAGTTGAAGTTTCATCAGAAGTGAAAAAGTACTTCCAGTGGTTAGGAAGACCTCTTTAAGCTGCCATTATGAAGTTTTTCTGAAGCATCAACTTCTAGGCACTTTTTACTGTTAATCAGAATCGTCGGCCTGTTTGCCCTACCTGGCAACATAATCCTGCATCCAGCATCCTGTATCAGATTTACTGTGTTGTGTACTGTTTTAATCTTCGGGATGTATCTTTAAGTTGTAATATGCCCACTTTTGAATACCAATCACCCACTCCTACTTCTTCTTCTTCTAGTAAAATGACGGAAGATGCCAAAAGAGATAGGAGTGCGTTAGTGGTCAGAACACAGGGTCTAAAGGGAACGAGAGCACGAGTGGCATTTAACCGGCCATTCGAACAGAAGCAGGATAATTTGAATAAAGTTTACATTTATGAAACAAGTGTTTGCATAGCTCAAAAAACAATAAACTAGACAGCGTATCTAGTATTCCGAAGGAATAATTCGCAGTTAAGCATAAAAGTTCTGATGCTTACTAATGAAAGATAAGTTCTACATTAGTTATGGGAATTTTAGACTTCCGATAAAGTCCCTACAAAGGAAGTATCCCGAGCAGTTGTTTTATCGTCAGGTTATAAATTTGAATGTATGCCAATCAATGACTTCCGCAAAACATTACGCAATTACTGTGCTTGCACAAGAACAGTTCTGAAGTCTTCCGATGACATAACTTTCCAAATGAAAAGAACCTAATGGTTTAAGGTGTCTTGTGCTGCGTACATTCTATCGGTAATTATTTCGACTGAAGATTTTTACGATAAGTAAATATTTCGAATTAAATGAAACATTACGAGACCTTACCACTGTATAAAAACACATCAGGATACAACTATTATCATTACTGTTGCGATCCGCCATCTAGAGATATAACTTTAATTCAGCTTCTGTTGTGAGCTGTATAATGTTTATCCTTTAAACACTATAGGTTTCCAGACCATAGATGTTACGGATTTCCCAGAATAATTTGAGATCGAAGTCAGAATGAATCATTATAAATTATTTAAAATAATCCCAGCGTATTTAAGAAAAGTTGAGAAAAAAACAGATTTCTCCTTTAAACACCGTTCCAAAACACTTTAAGTGAAGTGTGTGGTTTGCCTAGAAATGTTCACTTAGATTTTTAACATGTGCAGATTTTTAAAAAAATAAATGCTATTTTTATTGATTCTGTAGGTCCAAGATGACAGGACTGGATGACGTCAATGCCTCTCAACTTGAACTTCTTAAATGGCCCTGAAACTTTTAATGGTTAATTTCAAACTTTCGTCACCTAAAACTTAAGGATTCATATTGAAAAATCATGTCAAATAGACTTTAGTACATAAAGTCGTGGTTTTTTATTAACAAGCCGCCTTTCTACTTAGATTTCTACAGATAAAACAGGGTAGTGATGAAGATGTAGTGATTTGCTAGTCCATCTGACTTCCGTTGGACTCCGGCATGCTTCCTAATGTCTTCAACCACTTCGTAGTTGTTACTGTCCTAAACGACGCCGAACCAACTGCTCTCAGAAAATGTAAATACACAGAAAAACTAGTTGTTAGAAAAGGGAGCTTACGTTAGGGTGGAAGTCAAACTTAACAAATATTAATCAGATTGTTTGACAATAATGCAAATGGGGGAATATGTAGTTTGCGGATCCATTGCTAAACTGGTCAATTCTCAAAAGCAAAGTAATTAAAACATGAGTTTTCACATACACCAGCTGCAGCTGAAAATTACCGGCAAATGGTCAAACTAAGGTATTAGAAAATTCCTTCACCTTAAGCATCTGTAATCTTGACGCAATGCAGCATAATATCAACGCTTTGCAGCGACGGAGTAATGTCTTGGAAACTATTAGTAGTCGTATAAAATCAGACAAGGAACAGCTAATCCTATTATTAAAAAAATATCCTAACACACTGGCTAAATTTCGTACATCTGTAGCGGAAATTGTTGGCAAGATAATTTAAGAACAAAATTCTAACCCTTTCGCAGAGGACATATAATTTAGGATTGATTAGCTTTCTATCTTTCGGAACTTGTCAGAATACATGGTAAACGAAATTGAAGTTGTAATAATCGGTCGACAGTATGTCAGGAATAGCAGCTTAGGAAGTCTTCAGGTGTTAAATATTGCGAATGGGTATTTCAAGTTTTTGTAGTGCACCTTGAATGTTTGAACTTTTGTTTTAACGCATCCACGTACTATGGCGCCATGCTATCTTTGTTTTTCCAGTGTGGCCGCTCGCATGTGGCTCTCTCCCTTTTTGCGCTATCAGTTAACACATTCTCTAGCTTGCTACGCCAACCTGCCAACAGATGAGTTGAACACTATTGGCTCGTGTCAGTTTTGGTTTTTGTTTGTTATTCAAATACAGTTCACATCTGGGCGCACAACAGCGCATAAGTCTTCCACCTGGAATTCATCCATCAGTACATACATGGTAAGTGGTGTACTGATCAGGGTTAACGGAAGAAAGCAAGCTGAATAGGTACTTACATCTTCACCAAAATATGTCAGAGCACCATCCCACGGGCTAGGTCTCATTGGTGTCCTACTCGCGCTTCAAAAAGGAAAGTTACATTTTTAGTCTTTTTAAGTAACTTCAGCTTTTGTGTTAGTCCTATCAAAAGCGTTTTCGGTTCATTTTGGCCGAAGAATTGTTGTCTCTTCAATTATCTTTGAACTAAGAAGTTAAAACCTACAGAAAACTTTGGAACTTATTAATGAGGTCTCCATGACCATGAATATCGTGTAATTATTTGGAACTTAGAGGAATCCGCAGAAGTGAAACCAGCTGCTCGTCAATCGCATGATTTGTATTTTTGTCTTGACCTACTTCCCTACACAACAAATGTAATCACTATCAGTCAACGAAATACTTACACCATGGAAATTATTATGAAACAAGAGGAAGAAGAGTATTGTTCTCCATAAGCAATTTAGACCAAGGATATGAAGCCTATGACAACGCCTGTTTGGCCGTTAGATAGTGGAATTGGGAAGATGAGAGCCATAGTGGAGAAGAAGAAAAGACGATAAGAAATTGGATATTCATATGGTGAGGCCTGGGAAACTAGTGTTGCTGAGGGTTCTCTTTATACGTCGAGTCAACATACAAGTGCATCAGTGCACTATACGGAGGTGTGTAGCCTTAGGAACAAGCTTCCCAAGTGAGAAACATTATCTGAAATACTGTAACATGTTACTACTGTAACTGCTGAAAAATGACTGTTTATGGGTGTGGAACCCACCGCATCTATACCAGAATGCATATATTTCATTAGATTAGACATAATGTTTAGCCGGAAAAGAGGTGGGGTTACTATGTCTATCTGAGACGACAGAAATTCGGTCAGTGGCTCATGACAGCGGCCCTAGTGACCCTGCGAGTTGTGTTGATAATCAGAATACGATTATCATAATGACCAGTATTATTTATTGAAGACCTGCCTGCTAAGCTGATAATGTCACAGTAGAGCAACTGGAGTAATGGTTGCAAGCGTCCGACGGTTGATGACCATAATGCCCAATTATCCCTTGGGAGGAGTTGGCATCTAGCAGCCTGCAAGCCTGTTTCAACAGCAGTTTTGCTATGACAATCCTCAGATTTGTATTAATGCAACAAGTGGCTCCGCCAACGCGATACTCTAATGTGCGTCGGTGGCACAGCGGTTAGGACGCTCGCCGACCATGTACATGGTCCGGGGTTCCAGCCCCCGCCGACGCACACCTGATATCCATGGTTGGCCTGCAAAATTTAGGCTACCAATATCACATGCTGAAAATTCCATATTTGCACAAAAACTACGGTGTGGAATTAAGTTATAATCAAAAAAATGAACATGACCCCCCATCTTGAACTTAGTGCTAACTTGCCAGGAGTAAGATGTAGGCCATATAGGGTGCCTCTCGCCACCAAGCAGTAGGGAAGATTACGTAAGTTCTTGAGATTCACGACTTCATGCTTCCTCATCCAAACATGTGGGAAGCGGAATGCAGCAACCTCAACTGAGTGGATATACTAGAATGCGATTACGTTAGTCAATAGTTTTGACACAATTAAACACAGGAACTATCTGTGAACTTGATGTCCGTGATGTTCAAAAAGGCTTGACGCTACATCTAAATAATTCCAATATAATTCTGCTAATTATCGTTACACAAGCGCACATAATTAGACCACAGATAACAGCAAAGGCAGAGATTTCATGATACCATGAACAACATAAAACAACAGAATGATACATTAATCAGATGTCTTTACATGCCTGATCACAACGATGTTTGAGTAATTCACATGTGGCAAATTATTCAAAGATGTTTCAGTGTGTTTTCAAATCAGTTAAGGTTTTTGGGAGAAAATAGAAAGTATTGCAGGTGTTCTCAAAACAACGTAATTTCTGCCCAAATATGAATATTACTATTTGCTTGTACCTATGGATTCCACTGACTTACAGCAGGCAAAACACACAAATGTGCAAAAGCGTGGATCCAATATCCACCATATTTTAGGTTCCTGAAACACAAACAGTTGATGTACAGCAGCTGATCGGAAAATTTACGACCGAGTTCGGGTTACCACCAAGCTGAAAAGGAATTGTACAACTCAGTAACCGAAATGTACGTGAGACATGCATGGTAGATCGAGTAATCGTTGGATGAAAAATATATTAGGCGTCCCGCTGCACAAATAATGCATTCATACTTAGGAACAATATCAAAACACAGTTACTATACAAGTTTACCCAACAAAAGACAAATAAACACCAAAATCACATCAACTGAATTTACTTGTGACAAACAAAGCAAACTAGCCTTATCTCTAATCAATTGAAACCGCGAAAATACCAGTAGGATAAAGCAGGTAGCGCCACTTCATGAGCCGGATCTACCATATAATCGCTTATGGTCAGTTAGCACAGATGAAAAAAGCCTGAACGACGCTTGAGAATGAATAAGAATGTGTTAGTCCCCCTTCGTTCACTGATCTAGCACACACGAACCCTGCAGCTACCACATAAACCACCTGGAGTTTGTGGTAAATTAAGGGTATTAAGAAAAAACGATGAGATCGGCTCACTTAAACAGGGGGAAGAAGTTTCAGATAAGCTGCCTTAGAGTCCGGAAGTATATAACTGATAAAAGTCGTATGGAATATGAGGAAAGGTTGGTTTCGAACTGTCTACGCTGTCCCAAGAGTCTGTGCTCTTACGTTAAAGGTGTGACTAAAGTATAGATACCAACAAACAGCGTATGTGAGCGGCTGAATCTCATGAAGCGAAGACCGAAAAATTTTTGAATTTTTCTGCAGTGTTTCCCCACGTGGCGGTAATTCTCATGCGTCAGCTGAGCTCAGTCCCAGCACCTCTAAGATACCGTCTACTGTGGTAGATGGCACAGTGTTTCTTATCTAGTCAGCCGCTTACTCGTTCTGCTTGGACGACTTCAAGCTCATTCCCCAGTAGTTTTCATCAAGAAATATCACTGATTACAGTTGAATGGTTATCTATCGTACTAGATGTGGTCTTTTATCACGCCACTTACTGACTCTTTAACCTGGCCCAGTAAACATGGTACCAGGCTGAACTTGACACTGCCCTAACTACTGAAGGCAGACCATGACGCTTAAAGGCTGTTCAGAAACATACTCACTGGCAATGGTGTAGAAATAATGAAGGGATACACAGTCAAACTATAAGGCAGCAAGTGAGCTCTTGTCATTTGTATATCCAAATGATCTCAATGTGTTTCAATAGGTTAGTATAAACAAAGTGACTGTTGGTAACGAAATGGCCGTGGTTAAGTGGAATCGCTGAATTTTTTTAACCCCGGCAAATGAAACACTGCCTAAAATTAAGCCAGGTTGTTCACGGAGGCTTAACGGTTCCCACCCTAGATTGATAGACATCTTGACAGATATTATGTTTTCTATAGTCAGTTCGTAAGGGTTAGTTTTGTTTTTACGAGTTGGCTACGGATTGATATCAGTTAGAGAACCATTGAACTTACAGCTTTGTGGGATTCTTCAAATATCTGTGAATCAAACTAGGCTACCTGGAGACTGGAAGGACGCACTCAAAAGCCCCATCTTCGGAGAAGAAAATAAGCAACTCGTTTCTTGACATGCACTACAGCAAATATATTATATAAAATCATTATATATGAACAGACTGCCGGTAATGCCTCTTCCCATTATCATACCGAATGAGGAGAGATAACTTAGTTTTAGCAAACAGTATGTTAAAGGTTTATTCTGGAACTGACGTTTCTAACCTCTCCAATCTCTA